TGTCTTGTATCAACGTCAAGGGATGGTAAGATGGGTGTTGTGGCTTATGGAAGCAGAACTCTTACTACTGCTGAAACGATTACCATTTACATTCAGGCAAGTTAGAATTGTTAGCACTGAAATGGGCAGTGACTGAAAAATTCAGAGATTATCTTTACTACGCAAAAAGAATTTATTGAATACAGTGACAATAATCCGCTGACCTACATTATGACCACTGCAAAATTAGATGCTACTAGACATCGTTGGGTTGCAGAATTATCAAACTTTAATTTTAAGATTCGTTACAGGGCCTGGTAAGTCGAATGGGGATGCTGATGGCCTTTCCAGGATGCCAATAGATCTCAATCAATATCAACAAGAATATACTGCAGAAACATCTTTTGAAGAAATCGATGTGATGATCACATCCGCGAACCGTTTTGAAAATGTACTGTCACTAAGTCTATGCAATGTTGCTGATGAGGAAGAAGGTAAACATGTTGTTCCAACGTTGAAAGGGTTCACTTTGGATGAGATTAGAGAAGCTCAAAAATTTGATGGAGTAATAGGGCCAGTGTACAAAATTTGGCAGAAAATGTTCATGAAAACAAAATTAACAGACAGGAACTTATCAAGGAAAAGCAAAGTTTTATTACGAGATAGAAATAAACTGTCAATAGATGCTGATGGAATTCTTAGACGAAAAAGAAAGGGGGAAACATTATAAAGACACAACTAGTATTACCCCAGAAGTACCACCACAGGGTTTTCTATGAACTTCATGAACAGATGGGCCATCTGGGAATCGAAAGGGTAAGTAATCTTGCAAAGGATAGATTTTATTGGCCATTTATGGAGGATGACATAAAGGAATTTGTATTAAAGAGATGCACGTGTATTAAAGACAAAAAGCCGAACAACCAACAAAAAGCACCACTTCAGCCAATTTATACCTCGGCTCCTTTTGAAATGGTATCAATTGATTATCTCCATCTCGAAAAGCCAGTAAAGGTGGTATGAATATATTCTGGTTGTAATGGATCATTTCACACGTTTTGCACAAGCTTACCCAACAAGAAAACAAATCTGGGAAGACAGCTGCAGAAAAGATGTTCAAATGAGTATTTTATGAGGTTTGGGTTTCCACATCGTTTACATCATGATCAGGGCAGAGAATTCGAAAATCAGTTGTTCTTTCACCTGGAGAAATTTTGCGAAAATAAAGCATTCTCGCACAACTCCTTACCACCCTGAAGGAAATGGCCAGGTGGGAACGCTTCAATCGAACCTTACTGGGTATGTTAAAAACATTAGACAGAGACCAAAGATCTGATTGGAAGAATCACCTAAATAAGGTTGTTCATGTTTATAATTGCACCAAGCATGATACCACTGGCTGCTTTGCTCCCTTCTACTTGTTATTTGGTAGATCACCACGATTACCAGTTGACCTAGTTTTTGGATTGTGTGAAACAGATGATCAGCTTTCTCACAGAGGTTATGTTGCAAAATGGAAGGAAGGTTTACAAGAAAAGCTTTCGAGATTGCAAGGAAAAATGTGGGAAAAACAAATGAAGGCAAAAGAAACTAGATAGGGAAAAAAAATTTCCCTTTGCCCAAAACCCGGTAAGGTTTTTAAAAAGAAATTTGAAAGAGAAAGGTGGAAACCCTAATTGAATCCTATTGGGAGATCTTTTATTTTAGAAAACCCTAGTCTGAAAGAGTCGCCTTTTAAAAAAATTTAAAACCCGAAAATTGGGAAGGGGGGCACCTTTCTTTATAGAAATTTAATACTTTCCAAAGGGAATTTTTTTGCAAACCAAAAATAAATAAAAAAAATGTTAGTAAATTAAAAACCAAACACAGATTTTTTCCTAGACCCCTTTCCGAAGGGCAGAACCCAAAAGTCGATATATGTACCAATAAAAAAACCAAATTTTTGTGGGTAATTTTGAAATTTTTACTTTGTTGAGGATAAAGAATGTGTAGAAACCAGTGATTCGGATTCTGAAATTGAAGCAGATAGCAATGGAACACCTGTAACATCAGATGACGAGAGTGAGGTAAGTTTACCGCAAGTTGGCCTAAGACGATCAGTAAGGCAGCAAGTGGCACCTAGGTTATTAACATACGATAAATTGGGACAGCCATCTTACCAAAAAGTGGTTAATTCACTGTGTTGGTTGTCACCATTAGGTAATTTTTTCTAATTTTTTATAAGAATATACAGTCACTTAAAGACATTTATTGATTATAGAAATAAGGCATGATGCCCAGGAACAAAGGGTTCGTCATTAAAGAGAACAGGTTGGCAATGGGTCAAAACTTCTATAGCCAAAAGGGTATGACTTGAACAGACTGGCCATCTTTTCATTTCATGGGGTTTTGGCGTGGTCAAACTGTTAAGTGTAATGGCGTTGGGTTTCCTGGGGAAGCGCTTAAGATAAGAATCAATAAATAATGAAGTGTCTTTGTATAAATAATTGTGATCTTAGAGGTTGAAAAGAATGTTAGTCAATAGTGTTTCATTTGAGATCTGGGGAAATATTTTAAAGCTTATGTTTTGAAATTAGTAAATTTTTGAGGTATTTTTCTATTTTTTTATTTACTTGGTTTCTAGTCTTCATTTTATTATAGTTATATATTTTGTAAATTGTTTGTGAATCATTTGGGGTTTTAAGTGGTTAGTGATAACGGTTTCATTTGATAGCAAATGTCGGGACGACATTTGGTTTACGGGGGAGTGTGTGAGGTTGATGAAGGCACCCCTATAAAAAAATGTTAAGCGTTCTTTGCGTAAGTTATTCTTTGCGGTAATTTGGCGCAGTCTCCGCCATGTTTTAAGTAGAAAGAATAAAGACAATGAATTAAGAACATATTCTTTTCTTTTTAGGTAAGTATTAACAAGTAAGAGAAAGAAAAAGACTTTCTTCGATAGGTGTATTCATTGTATTTTTTTGTTTATCGTAACTGTTATCAATGACATTGTATTGTTTAGCTTGCAAACATGTTTAAAGTTGAGAGTCATATGTTTTCGCGGATAAACGTTTTACATACGTATTTTGATATTCATCTATATATCATCATATTTTTTTACTGTTTATTGTTAATACGCATTTTATATGATAACTATGAACTTTTTGTAAGTAAAATACAGTTTAATAATTGTTTAGACAATTATTTAGAATAGCATGTGTTATGCCATATTTGGAAAGAGCTCGGTAAATGAACCCAAAGGCAATTAAACGACATAAAGTCGAACATGTAACATATTGTTTGAACATTACTAAATAAACGACATAAAGTCGAACATATACAATATTGTTTTGAACATTGTTTATATGCTATTTGTCTAACCGAACATATAACAATTCATTTATTATCTTTCATCTTTTGTTAAGTATATACAGTTATAAGTGCCAAATAAATTGATTGTCAGTATTATCATTTGTGCCAATGATTTAGATTGTTATTGTTTTATGCATAATAGTAAATTCTCAAGTTAAGTTTCTATTGTAGCAGTTTAGTAATCATCAGTTTAATATGTTTTTATTTCAATCAGATATATAAATAATTAAGGTTGTGTCGTTAATCAGGTTATTATTATTCATTCCAAACATTTTACATTGCAGTATTATCATAATAATGATTTATATTTTAATACTCTTTGCATGTACCCCTAGACATGAGTAAAGTTAAAACATTGTTATTTTAGTTGTGAACAATTAGTTAAATGTTTTATGCCACATGTTGTTATGCAACGGCAGTCTCCGCCATGTTTTAAGTAGAAAGAATAAAGACAATGAATTAAGAACATATTCTTTTCTTTTTAGACTCCGTATCATATCTTCAATTTGACCCGGCCAACAAAAACTTACATCTAGTTGCATTACCATATAAAATGATGACAAAAGCCATACAATATGTACTAAATCTGTTCACAATTAAATCAAATGTGTTCACATTGCAATCAAATCAATACATATATCAATATAATCTATAAGTTTTCTATGCAAATATGTATGCATTCTAATCAAATCTGTACATATTTCAATTCAATATGTACACACTTTAATCAAATATGTACACAAGTCAATAAAATGTGTAACATCTGAATAAAAAAGTACACAATTCAATAAAATCTGTACACATCTCAATTAAATATGTACTCATATCAACCAAATCTGTACATATCTAAATTAATATGTACATGTACACATTTTAAACAATTATGTACACATTTCATTTTTTTATTCAAGCCTCTAAATCATAACTTTAATAATATTTTTCTTTATAAACAGTCAACTTAAACATGAGAGGCATTTAACAGATTTTCATTGTACACATATTTGGTTATATACCTTCTATTTGTGTACATTTCAAATAATCATGTACATATCTCAAATACTCATGTACATAAGAATCAAAAACTTGTGCACATACAATCATAATAACTCATGTACAGATCTCAATTATGCACATGTGTATATATCTCATTTATTTGTGTACATATCTGAATATTTGTGAGAATATCTCAGTGTATGTATCTCAATTACCTATTGCAACATAACTATACATCTACATATCTCAAAAACTCATGTATATATCTCTAACACTTATATCAAATACTCATGTACATATCTCAAACACTCGAGTACATTCCTCAATACTTATGTACATATCTCAAACACTCATGTACATATCTCAAACACTCATGTACATATCTCAAACACTCATGCACATATCTCAAACACTCATGCACATACCTCAAACACTTATCTCAAATGCTCATGTACATATCTCAAACACTCATGTACATATCTCAAACACTTATGTACATATCTCAATAATTGTGTGTATATATAAATAACTTTTACACATATATCTTACTTACAAATCTACACATCTTAATTATTTATGTACATGTATTGTACATACCAGTATATCAATAACATATGCTGACATTTTATTTACAAATGTACAAATACAATTACTCATGTACATAATTATCTCAATTATTTGGTACATATCTCAATTATTTGAACACATATCTAAGTTACTCATGTTCATACATGTATATCAATCATTTATAAATATTTCTCAATTATTCTTAAATAAAACTCATTTACATGTACACATCACAACTACTCATGTACATTATCTCATTAACATGTGTGTGTGTGTACGTGTGTGTGCATATCTCATTTATGCTTGTATCTCAATTATATGCAAACTCATTTCAATCCTTTCAGTACACAGCAATATCAATTTATCATGAACACACCTCTGTCAGATGTGTAACTCAACTATATGTCCGATATAAACAAATCTCAATTACACATGTACCTATCTCAATCAAACTTTGACAACGCTCAATCAAACTCTATAAGAGATTCTTTCTCTGTGAAAGTTTCGTTCTGTGCAGGGTTGTGAACATGTTTCTGTTGCAGAATTCCAATCTGTACTTTAACGGCCAGGCATATCATTCGCTCCTTGTGAATGTTTGAACACAGCTCTGAGTTGTCACTCTGAAAAAACATATAAACAAACATATAGTACTGTCCATTTGTTACATTGATTATGATTGGGTAATCATGGTGTTTATATTATATTTAAACACTGCCAGGGAAAATTACAAAATATGTACCAATTAAATAGGGAACAGTACAAAATATAAGCAGACAGCATTGATGTCTGTTTGTTTCATTTTACGCCTTTTCCCAACAGTATTTCAGTCATATAGGCGGGTAGTTTCCTAGCCATCGTTCCTAGAGAGTAACACCAGTTCTAGTCAACCTTCCTCCATGCTAAACTACCAAAGCATCTCCCGGGGATCAGACCCACGCCAGAGAGGTAACTGGATTAGAAGTCATCGACTCTAACCCCTCGACCACGGAGGTGGTCCAGCACTGATGTGCCAGATGATCTTGAGTTGCCTCGGTAGAATCTATTGTCAACAGCAGGTTAAAAGTATATGATGGGTCCAGTTAAAGCAGTTGTAAGAATAAAGATCTATTTACTCTTAGTCTGCTTGCATTTTGCCCAACTTTGAAATTGAAACATTTCATTTGACATTCAAGCAATTTCAGCATCAAACTACAAAAACAGAGCAGCCAAAAGTATAGAGCCTAGTCAGATTGAAAACATAATTGAGCCGCGTTACGACAAAACCAACATAGTGGGTTTGCGACCAGCATGGATCCAGCCTCTGATCAGGATCCATGCTGTTCGCTTACCAAATGTATTACAAGTGGAGACAGCGAAAAGCATGAATCCTGATCAGACTGCGCGGATGCGCAGGCTGATCTGTATCCATGCTGGTTGCAAACCCATTACGTTGGTTTTGTCGTGACGCAGCTTATATGTAAGCTGATATGACTCTTCACTGATAGCAAGGGCTTATCACTTCTGATTCTTTTGTTTGTTTGGTTTGGCTTTACGGTACACAAACACAATTTAGGTCATAAGACGCCGAAACAGGAAAAATTATTTTGGCTAACCTCGGGTGTTACAAAATTAAAGCAACATCAGGGATCAAAACCACCACACATGCTGGAGCTAAGAGATTTACAGACTCCAGGTGAGCGTTTCAGTAACATTCCGTAGGTTTTGCGTATGTCTTTACGTAAATTTGGACTTACACTAAATGTACATTTATATCAGTTGCGTTTCACTAAACAGAACGTGCAATTATCAACAGCAATAAGTGAGCGTAACTTTTTCGTTTAAACTGACGCAAATGCCTAAGTTAGAAAGGTTAGTGAAACGCAAATAAATTATGTTAAATAAAGTTCTGCTTATGCAAAAGGTACATTCAAACTCAAGTTATGATAACTTAAGTACATATAGAAATGCACCTCAGTAGTCCGAACCCAGTTAGTTGCCTCTTACAAACACACAAGGATAAACAGTGGCTGAAATTCTGATACCTTACAGAGAAACCCCTAAGCCACACTGGGAGGGACACTTCAGGTTCCAAAAGATTAAGGGTTGAAATATGCCAGAAGGTTATGTTAATTGAAAAAATTATTTCCCACAAGTTACATAAAATCACCATGAAAGACATTTACCTCAAGTTCCTCATTCTCTTTGATAAGCTGTTGAAGAATTTCCTGTAAGTCATCTTCATCTTCACTCTCATAACTACTGTCTGAAATATAGAGAGAAAAATAACCTCATAACTACTGTCTAAAATATAGAGAGAAAAATAACCTCATAACTACTGTCTGAAATATAGAGAGAAAAATAACCTCATAACTACTGTCTGAAATATAGAGAGAAAAATAACCTCATAACTACTGTCTGAAATATAGAGAGAAAATAACCTCATAACTACTGTCTGAAATATAGAGAGAAAAATAACCTCATAACTACTGTCTGAAATATAGAGAGAAAAATAACCTCATAACTACTGTCTGAAATATAGAGAGAAAAATAACCTCATAACTACTGTCTGAAATATAGAGACAAAAAATAACCTCATAACTACTGTAGAGATAAAAATAACCTAATAGCTACTGTCTGAAATATAGAGATAAAAATAACCTCATAACTACTGTAGAGAGAAAAATAACCTCATAACTACTGTAGAGATAAAAATAACCTCATAACTACTGTCTGAAATATAGAGAGAAAATAACCTCATAACTACTGTCTGAAATATAGAGATAAAAATAACCTCATAGCTACTGTCTGAAATATAGAGATAAAAATAACCTCATAACTACTGTCTGAAATATAGAGATAAAAATAACCTCATAACAACTGTCTGAAATATAGAGAGAAAAATAACCTCATAACTACTGTAGAGATAAAAATAACCTCATAACTACTGTCTGAAAGATAGAGAGAAAAATAACCTCATAGCTACTGTCTGAAATATAGAGATAAAAATAACCTCATAACAACTGTCTGAAATATAGAGAGAAAAATAACCTCATAACTACTGTAGAGATAAAAATAACCTCATAACTACTGTCTGAAATACGGAGAGAAAAAAACAGATGAAATTGCCAGCATGTGTGAAACTAATAAAACATTGTTACACCAGTCTAATATACAAGAATTATATATAATATTGAGCCGCGTCACGACAAAACCAACATAGTGCGTTTTCGACAAGCATGGATCCAGACCAGCCTGCGCATCCGCGCAGTCTGATCAGGATCCATGCTGTTTGCTATCAGTTTCTCTACTTGATATAGGGTCTGTAAGCAAACAGTATGGATCCTGATCAGACTTCGAAGGCTGGTCTGGATCCATGCTGGTCGCAAACCCATTATGTTGGTTTTGTTGTGATGCGGCTCAATTTATCATCACGGCCAATTACCTGATGATGTACTAAGTATTTCCTCGTCACTGTCTTGGCGTAGGTACTGCAGTTCATCGATCTCTTGCTGTAAACGTTCTGACTCGCATCGCTCAGTCTCTATCTTCTTTCGGAGTTCACCCTCTACAAAAAAGGGACAAAATTGTATAATTAACTGACTGCTGGCAAAGAAAACAACCTTTATCATTGTTTGACCTCTTTTTTAATAATAGAAATACCAATTGCCCCTCACCGGTGGATTCGAACCCTGAAAGGGACTTTGGATTCTTTCATGTGAGGAAGCTTTCCAGCTAGCAAACAGTTTATCGGTGCTTCTACTCAGGTGCCTGTTTGTGACTGAAATAATGCATGAAAGGGCACTGGAGGTCTTTCTTCACCAGTAAAGCTGGAACGTCAACATATGACCTATACTGTGTCCATGCAACGTAAAACCCAATCAAAACAAACAAACTTAATTACCTTTTACAAATATTATTGGTATCTGGCTCTTTAAATTATAGAATACTATGACAAAATGAATTTTCCATTTAAAATCACTGACTTGATAATTAATTTATTAAGATATTTTTTAATCAATCAAAAATGTTGGAAAACTTTTGTGCCGTTTGACGGAAACCATTGGTTCCGCGGCTCTATAAACACGTCGGAAATCTGCTTATCCAAACCTATACATATTTATCTTCAACATCTCAAGGGTTTAACTAACTTCTTTATTTTCAATACTAATGATAATAGACCTAGAAATGAACAACATTGCCTTGTTTGTAATTCATACAACATTGAAGACGAATACCATTTTATTTGTATTTGTCCTTGTTATTCAAATATTAGAAAAACAATACATCAAAAAGAAATACTATGTCAAACTATCAATTTATAAATACATGTATTCGCAATTGTTAACAACTGTAGATAAGCAAGAACTAATCATTATTTCACTTTATGTTAAACATGCTTTGCTCTTACATACAAATATCACTTACACTGAACGATAACTATGTTCATCTCCACTTTGTACAAAAATAAATAAAATATGTGTCTGTCTGCCTTTATTTTTAAACACGACAACGACAAGACAATGTCTTTTGATACTATTTTAAAAACAATGTAAAGGATTATTTCTCAAGCTCCCAGTTAACTATCTAAAACAGGTTGTGATCATGTGACACTGCTAGTTTTGAAAATAATATAATTATCTGTATTTTTTTACATTATATGTGTTATATTGCATAAGAAAAGGGGGCAAAGATCTTGCAAAATGTGGAGCAAAAAAATTCTTTACGTTTCCCATGTTATATCACATATATAAACATGTATATATAATACATATATAAGGGTGCGTGGATCTTGCAAAAAGTGGAGCAGATAAAAAAAATTCAAGACCAAATAAAAGAGTCCATCTCAATCTTTTTGTTCTCTAAGTCATATTATATGAGGTCAGCAGTCAACCATATGCAGAGTGAATGTGCAGAAACTTTTGCCAAACAAAGGTTCATAAAAAAAGTAGTTCCATACCTATTGCAAGTAGTTCCTCTTCTTCTAACTTGAGAGCGTATTCTTCCTCGAGAAGTTTCTGGTATTCCTCCTCACTGATTGACTCGTCCTCAGAAATTTCACTGATTTCCAACTCCGACCCATTCACTGTGTCAACAGATACGTCCTGAACTTTTTCTGTAAGATAGAGAATAAAGCTTTCACTATCTGTTAGAACAAATTCATTTACTTTAGATTCATTACAGAACAGGTTGTCCCAAATTTATTTCACTACTGAGTCAGCTTTCTGGACCTAACCACTACTGACTGCATCAGAGAAAATGGCTAAAGTAGGGCACAAACCTTAAGTCTCTGGGCTGAGTGGTAGAAACCCTTACCACTAGACAAGTCACAACTGCTCCAGAAAAGTAAAACTTGGCTAACATGACAAAAAAAATTTATTTAATTTTTACGATTTTATTCTTGTTTGTCTAGTCTTTACCCCAACATAGTTCTGGACATATTTAGCCAGTCATTTAACCTAGTAATAACTAGTTATTACCAATTTCTCCACAAGTGACCAAATATACTACATGATTTCTAAATCAGCGTTAAGGGACAAACGACCATTAGATTAAATGTCACAGAAATTTTGGTGCATCCCAAGGATCATCATCAAACCTGCAACCTTGGATAATAAATCCCATGCTCTTTGTCTGGAGCTAAGTGGGCAAACTAATGCCACACAAAGAGAGGACAGCCAGTATATTATTGGTGTCTATCAGCCTGCATGCCTTCAACAAATTTTTCAAAACATTTTCTATTCTTTAAGCTAGTGCCTTCAAACTTGGACAAGACATATCTCAGAAATTAAAAAAAAAAAAGAGGGAAAATTCCAAATGTGAGGCTGCCCTTTCCACAGTCCAATATTCTATTATACTATATTACAACTACCTTGAGGTTCTTCTATGTGTTCCGGTACTGGTGTTGTAGCGGGAGGAGATTCTGGGGTTTCTATGGGAACAGGTGTCTTTGTTTCCATGGCAACTGGTTCGTCAACATCCTCAGACACTTCAACCTTGACCACAGTCTCCTCTGACACAGTTGGTCTGTCTTCTAGCACCTGAAGAAAATTTTATATTTTTTTATTTTCTTTTTGATTTCTTTTTTTGTTTCTTTGGTTTTTCGTATTTGCTTACTGGATTTAAAGGGATACTCAGGCAAATTAATGACAAAAACATTAAAATGATCTTATGAACTCAAATTACCCTAAAATGACATGTTTTAAAATCCCAGCATGAATTTCTGTATTACATTCTATATATTTTGGGTTTGAAGCGTAAATATATCTATATATACTGAACGAAATTACAAGCCCACAGAATCACTGAGTAGTTTTAAAACAAGTCATGCGACTTGAACAAACCCTGGATGTTACAATAACTGATATTGTGGATATTGTATGATTGAAACAAGTCTAAGTCATTCATTTGACATGTTCTTTAACATTTGGAAAGTGCACTGTGACCACTACCGTGAAATGTTAAAGCTTTGTTCCTGTGACAGCCTAGTGTATTCATTTTGAGGACATATACAGAATAATGAATGAAAAATTTAAACGAAGAAATGAAAATTTTGCCTGTGTCTCCCTTTAAGTTACAGTTAAACAGTCATAAACAAGAGCCGGTTGAACCAGGTGATGCTCCCCAAATAGGTTTTGGACACAGGAAGGTATACCTCTTGTAGTGTCAGAGTTATGTCAAAGACAAAGCTTAAAGAGTAAAAACAAGGAAGTGACCCAAATGTTGCGCACCACACGTTGTCTCAATATGGTGATCATTTCTGTGAAATAGTTGTAAAATCCAACTTCAAATAACAAAGTTATGGGTCGAACACGATTTTGCTACAAGATCAAGCTGTGACCTTGACCTTCAAGGTAGGGACCCAAATGTTGCCGAGACATGTCGTCTCAATATAGTGATCATTTCTGTGAAATAGTTTTAAAATCCAACTTCAAATAACGAAGTTATGGGCCGGACACGAATTCGGGACGGACTGAAGGACAACCCGCCGAATATATGCTCCCCTGAATTATTTCGGGAAGCATTTAAAAATATTTTTTTATTAATTTTTAAAAAACATTACGATACCTACCTCTTGATCTGTGAGATCCTTGTCACTTTCTATATTTAGATCCCTCTCTAAAATCTCCTCTAAACTGTGCTCAAACTCGTCCGACTCAGATTCTGTTTTTTGTATACTTTCTCGGGAATGGCCGAGCTGCGAATTTAAGAGAAAAATAATAATTTTTTTCTAAAAATTGATTTTGTCAGTTTTGTAATGAGACATAATGCTTAATTTACTTTTACAGAGCATTACATAAATGAGCCGCGTCACAACAAAATCAACATAATGGGTTTGTGACCAGCATGGATCCAGACCAGCCTGCACATCCGCGCAGTCTGATCAGGATCCATGCTGTTCGCTATCAGTTTCTCTACTTGTAATAGAGTTAGTAAGCGAACAACATGGATCCTGATCAGACTGCGCGGATGCGCAGGCTGGTCTGGATCCATGCTGGTCGCAAACGCACTATGTTGGTTTTGTCGTGACGCGGCTCAAATGTAATATAATGAAATATCGGAGTATTAATTTTGAGACTATTGTTATAGATTGATATTTTGAATTTCTTCATTTACCCCACCAAATGATAATAGATGATGAATGAAATAAGATATATTAATTTTGAATGTCGGCACGACAAAACAACCCTTAACATCATTTTACAACTAACATGAAAAGATGTTAACATTGACGTTAAAAATAAAAGAGCACATTGACATTGAAATGTTAAAGATAAATATGAATAGGTAACAACAAGCAAATTTCAAATGTTTTTTCTTAAATTCAAGAGCTATAGAATTGAATTTCTTTAAGAATTCAATATGTCAATTAAAAAAAAAGTAGGTTACATTTAGGACTATTTTCTGATCCCAGCAGTCATTTATATTTACATGAAAGTCAATATTCAAGCTAATGTGTTAAGTATGCCTCAAAAACTTTTGAAATTTGCCATTAAATACAATTCCTAAATCATTCTTGACTCTTCCCTGAGAAAAATTTTAAAGACAAGTCTTTCAACAACAAATTCTACATCTCTAGAGAAATGCCCCTCAGCAACAACCACCAAAAATTTTGGGTCTTGTAAAGGGTGTTACTCTGCAGAGGTTATTTACTGTTACTTTACCTCAGAATCAGTCGTATCCTCCTGTAACAGCATTGCTTTTTTATTATCCAGATCAGCTTTAATAGTCTCTGCTGTAACATCAGTCTTCTCTTCAACCTTATCATCCACTGCTATCTCTTGTTCTACGTTACTTTCTGTACCAAGTTCTTCTTCCTTTTGTTCTGCACTTGTTTCCTGAGGTTCAACATTTTCCTCTACCTTCTTTGTATCAGTTTCCTCTTCTTCATCATTTACAGCTACTTTCTCATCGGATTCAGTTTTGTTCTCTTCAACTGCTTCAGACACCACTTCTTTATGTTCCTTCTCCAATTCTTTCTCCTGACTTTCTCTTTTAGCTTTGCTCTGATTGGCTAACTCCTTGAGGAGAACTTTCTGATTGGCTAATTCTTTTTGCTTTACTTCTTTAGCACTCTCAACTTTTTCTGATTCAGGTTCTAGTTCAGGTTCACCACCTTCTGTTTGTTCTTGCTTTACACCTTCCTCTGCATCTGGAACAGGAGTAATCTCCCCTTCATCTGCTGGCTCAGTTGGTTGGAATTCGTCTGGTGGCTTACGCAACTCTAAATTCAACACCTGGAATAATGAAAAATCAAAGATAAATTGTGCATTTTCTAATTAAAATGAACAACCAATGTCTAATTACAATGAATGATCAAGGTCAATTTTTTGCAGGCTAAATATCAACAGAGCAGCATCTTTACACCATCACAGAAGCCCTACTTTGTTAAATCAATTATAATAAACATTACACATACTTAACTTCATTTGTATACGCTAGTGGTTTGGGAATTATAGTTTTTCACACATGCATTGTTTTTTGATTGTTGAAACTTGTGATGGCACAAGGCAATGTTCTATAAAAACAAGAGGGCCATGATGGCCCTGAGATCGCTCACCTGTATATAGCCCCCCCCCCGGGCCAATTTTTACCCAAGGGCTTTTATTTGAACAGACTTGGTAGACACCCATAAGAAGATGTTTCATGCTAAACATCTAAGTTCTAGCTCATTGGGTTTTTTAAAAGAAGATTTTTTAAGTTTTTACTATACACATATAGTTAAAAACAATGACACCCCTGGGGCAGGGCCAGTTTTGACCCCCGGGCTTTTATTTGAACAAACTTTGTAGATATTTACTTAAAAATGTTTCATGTATAATATCTAAACTCAAGCTATTTGGGTTTTTTCAAAGAAGATTTTTAAGTTTTTGCTATACACATATAAGGAAAATCAATGACGCCCGGGGTGGGCCAGTTTTGACCCCAGGGCTTTTATTTGAACATACTTGGTAGACACCCATTAGAACATGTTTCATGCTAAATATCTTAGCTCTAGCTCTTTGAGTTCTTTAAAAGAAGATTTTTTAAGTTTTTACTATATGCATATAGGGAAAATCAATGACCCCTGGGGCGGGGCCAATTTTGACCCCAGGGCTTTTATTTGAACAAACTTGGTAGACACTCATTAGAAGATGTTTCATGCTAAATATCTTAGCTCTAGCTTTTTGGGTTCTTTAAAAGAAGATTTTTTAAGTTTTTACTATATGCATATAGGGAAAATCTATGACCCCCTGGGACAGGGCCAATTTTGACCCCAGGGCTTTTATTTGAACAAACTTGGTAGACATTCACTAGAAGATGTTTCATGTCAAATATCTAAGCTCTAGCTCTTACGGTTCTTTAAAAGAAGATTTTTTAAGTTTTTACTATATGCATATAGGGAAAATCAATGACCCCCCGGGGCGGGGCCAATTTTGACCCCAGGGCTTTTATTTGAACAAACTTGGTAGACACTCACTAGAAGATATTTCATGTCAAATATCTTAGCTCTAGCTCTTTGGGTTCTTTAAAAGAAGATTTTTTAAGTTTTTACTATATGCATATAGGGAAAATCTATGACCCCCTGGGGCAGGGCCAATTTTGACCTCAGGGCTTTTATTTGAACAAACTTGGTAGACACTCATTAGAAGATGTTTCATGCTAAATATCTTAGCTCTAGCTCTTTGGGTTCTTTAAAAAGAAGATTTTTTAAGTTTTTACTATATGCATATAGGGAAGATCAATGACCCCCCGGGGCAAGCCCAATTTTGACCCCAAGGCTTTTATTTGAACAAACTTGATAGACACTCACTAGCATATGTTTCATGCCAAACATCTAAGCTCTAGCTCTTACAGTTCTTTAAAAGAAGATTTTTTAAGTTTTTACTATATGCATATAGGGAAAATCAATGACCCCCCGGGCCGGGGCCAATTTTGACCCCAGGGCTTTTATTTGAACAAACTTGGTAGACACTCACTAGAAGATGTTTCATGCCAAATATCTTAGCTCTAGCTCTTTGGGTTCTTTAAAAGAAGATTTTTTAAGTTTTTACTATATGCATATAGGGAAAATCAATGACCCCCTGGGGCCGGGCCAATTTTAACCCTAGGGCTTTTATTTGAACAAACTTGGTAGACACTCATTAGAAGATGTTTCATGCCAAATATCTAAGCTCTAGCTCTTACGGTTCTTTAAAAGAAGATATTTAAAGATTTTTCTTTCAGTTGCCATGGCAACCAAAGTTCTGCATGAAATGGAATTCTTTGAACAATCTTGATAGAGCTTCATACAAAGAGTATTCCTGCCAAGTTTCATTAACATTGGCCTTGCGGTATCATAGAAGATGTCCTTAGAATATTTAAAATGTGGACGGACGACAGACGACGGACTCCATTTGGTTGGCCATCCTAAAAGCTCACCTGCACTTTGTGCAAGGTGAGCTAAAAACAAACACTTGACAATACATGTAAACCTACCTTATATTCTTGAAGTTCCCTCAACTCTACCCTCAATTGCTCATCACCCTCCTTTGTATACAATTATGTATATGTAAACCTACCTCACATTCTTGAAGTTCCCTCAACTCTAGCCTCAATGCCAGATCTCCATCCTCTAGTATAAAATAATGTACATGTAAACCTACCTCACATTCTGGAGGCTCCCTTAACTCTAGCCTCAACTCCTCATTGCCCTCCTCTAGTATAAAATAATGTTCATATTAATGTACCACACATTCTGGAGGTTCCCTCAACTCTAACCTCAACTCCTTATCTCCATCCTCCAGTACAAAATTATGTACATGTAAACCTACCTCACATTCTGGAAGTTCCCTCAACTCTAGCCTCCATTCCTCATCTCCATCATCTAGTATAAAATCATATACATGTAAACCTACCTCACATTCTTGAAGTTACCTCAACTCTAGCCTCAACTCCTCATTGCCCTCCTCTAGTATAAAATTATGTACATGTTAACCTACCTCACATTCAGGAGGCTCCCTCAACTCTAGCCTCAACTCCTCATCACCCTCCTCGAGGACTGTATTACGTTTGCTCATCTCATCTCTCTCCCTCTTCCGTTTCTCCATTGTATCTTGGTTTTTCTGTGCAAGTTTTATCTGTAATTAAAAATTATTCAATAAAATTATATGTAAGTTTTATCTATATATTAGATAAAAATAATTATCCAAGTTATATCCTTCTAAAGATAATTTTATGTCATGGTCATACATAACAATAAACTTGGGATGTCAAATATGACAAAAGGGACAAACAAGTTGAAAAGGATATATATAACGACTGACTTGACCTAATGTCCTTCCTAAAGGAAGCGGTATTGAACTGACTGAGATTTATAGTTCAAAACCTAAAAGAGTATACAACAATATTGGACAACCTTATGATCTACCTAAATGAAGACAATATTGGACTGAAAGAATTTATATCAAACCCTGATGTCCTATCTAATAGAAGACAATATTGGAATGACTGAGATTATTGACCAAAATTTGATATCCTACTTAAAAGGTGATAATTTTGGACTGGAGATTATTGGACTTACTGCAATTCATAGTGGAGATTTTTGGATTATTGAAATTCATAGTGGACATTATTGAACTTACTGGAATTCAAAGTGGTCATTACTGGACTGAATGGAATTCATAGGGGCCATTATTGGACTTACAGAAATTCATAGTTGACATTATTAGACTTACTGGAATTCATGGTGGACATTATTGGACTGAATGAAATTCATTACAAATTTATTGGTCAGGGATTTGTCATTCAAAACCTGGTATCAAACCTTTCTCTTCAGCTGTGTACAGACCCTCTGTACCTCCCAGATTTGCTCCTCTTTCTCTGGGTCCCCAGTACCGGCAGCAAGTTCCTCGTGAAGCTGGTTTAATAAAGACTCTTGCTTGGACAATTCCTCCTGGATGGCCGCTGGATTATCGGGCAGTTCAAGAGACCATCTTGACGTAGCTGGTTTCAAGGGAGGAACATATCTATGCAGTGCAAAAATGTCATAGATGTTACTATATATAGACACACAAGGATTATTGTTACTATATTTAAAAAAAGGATTTCTGTTACTATATTTAGACAGGACAGATTGTTGTTACTATATTTAGATACAAAACAGATTACTTTTATTATAAACACAAAAATAAACAGGATATATTATGGTTACTTTATTTAGAACAACATATTGATTTTTCTATATTTAGACAAATTTGTTTTCTGTTACAATACAGGACAGTCTGTTGTAATTATATTTTGACAAGATAGACTGTTGCTGCTACTATATTTAGACAGCAAAGACTGCTATAAGTATATTCAGACAAGACTGGTCACTGTTACTATATTTAGACACAACTGTCAGTTGTTGATACTTTAAAAAGACAAGACTGTCGGTTGTTACTATATTTGGAAACAAAACATTGATTTTACTTGATTTTGACACAACAGATTTCTTTTTCTATATTTAGACAAGACTATCTGTGGCTACAAATATTTGTATAAATCACTGTTACTCTTATTAGACAATAAACATTATTAATTCTTTATTTAGACATGACTTTTGTTTTGTTTTTATTGGGTTTCAAAGTCACAGCCAAACTATAAACTTAAAGGTCACATTGCCACTTTCCAGTTTTAATGGAGCATGAAAACCTCAGGTGCCCATTTGTGCATTATTTCAGGCACCATTTATCCCTGCATGAATGGTAATAGGCGACTTAATGGGGTTTAAGTACTGGAGTCTACCCATCTCTTAGCTGCAGCAGGTGAGATGGTTTTGAACCCTGGTGTTGCTTGTTTGTTTGTTTGTTTGTTTGTTTCATTTTACGCCTTTTTCAATAGTATTTCAGTCATATAGGCGGGTAGTTTCCTAACCATCGTTCCTGGAGAGTTTCACCAGTACTAGACTACCTTCCTCCGCGCTAAACTACCAAAGCATCTCCCGGGGATCGAACCCACGCCAGAGAGGTAACTGGATTAGAAGTCATCGACTGTAACATCCGAGGTTAGTCCAAAACATCTTTCATGTTCCCATGCCATAAAATTATGACCTAAATTGTGTTATTAAATAAAACAAACAGGCATTAGGGAGCACTTGAGTAGAGCCACCAACCTTCTGTATGCTGACTAGATTGCTGTTACTATAAAAACTTGACGTCTACAGCATATTATTTCATGCTTTCCAGTATTTTATTGTAATATATCAGATGATTATATTCTAATAAACCACTAGTGAAATTTAGAAAATATAATTTTTACGAAATTTTTTTCCCCGCCTGCCCGCCGCCAGCTTGGACGCCCGCCGCCCAACATTCACCATACTATAACCCGGGTTTGCACCAGTGCAACCCAGCCAAAAATGTAACAAAGTTAGAGAAATTTAACAGAACTATATTTCAAACATGATGATGTGATGTCATGATGTAATGACGTCATAAGGGAGAATGCGCGATGTTACGCGGCAAAATCAGTAAAAAAGTACTTAAAATCACTTAAAAAGCATGAAATAAAAAGAAAATTTATTTGTTTTACATATAAGATTTCGTGAACATCAGCTATTATAGTTTCACTCTTGGCTACGCCACTTGTGAAAATATTGCATCTGGTGTTCACTCAGTGAAATTATATTTCAATCTTACATGCAAAACAAACAAATATCCTCTATTTCTTACACCGCATTTTACTCCTGGATAAAATAACAGAATTAGATGTAACAAATTAGACATACCTTTTTATGACTGTATCTTTAAACAACTGTTTTGTGTGAGAGAATAGAACATTTAATACTCGATGGCTTATCTGCATCGTAGGGCTCAACACGATTGACACATTCTGAAGTGTCATTTTGTTCTCTTTTTGCTGCAAACAAATATAGATTAGGGAATATACTCTGTATTTTTCTTAATTTAAAAATAAATCAAAATGTGCATATACAAAATTATTTATGTATTTATCTTTTGGCTAAAATTTAAAATCACAGAAACTCTGTTATGAGGTCATAACTGGCAACTATCTGGCATACCTGGGGGTGGCAGACCTCAGGTGCCACTGATCTGACACCAGAAAGTTTAAAATCATAGCAACTCTGTTAAGAGGTTATGTGATAAACTTTAAGGCTTAACTGGAGGAGGCAGACCTCAGGTGTGACTTTGTGCATGTTTGGCATGAGCTGGCACCTGAGTAGAACCACTGACCTATTAGATAGCTCAATAGTTTCCTTACATAGAATAATTAAAAGTCCCTGAGTGTATGTGAGCCCAGAGCGGTGCCTGAATCAAAGTCTTATTCATTTAAAGTGCTTACTTCTTAACATCATTAATGTCAAATTTATAGCACTGGCATGGTCAGGTGTGAATAAAACTTTGTTCGCCTTCCTCATAAATAGACATGTTGCCAAACCTTTTCGTGACACCAGCAACACACACACCTTTCCATGTCCACCATAGCAGTTCTCACTCTTTTTATAGTGATACCCTTTTACTATTTCCCATAGCAGAGTCACTCCCAGTTATAAGCCCCTTAAAGCTGTCCCGTCCCTGGCCCCTAGTAAGAAACTTCCCCATTTCATGTATCTTTTCACTGTCCTGTCCAAAGCAAAGCTGTCCGTTTAGCTCAATAGGTAGAGCATTGTACGTGAATCGGGCGATCCAAGTTCGATTCCTAGACGGGGCAGGTCATTTTCGTTGCGATTGATTATGAAATATTTTCTACGGTCATTTATACTGTACATCTGCTCTGGTATGTACAGAAGTTTCAGTTCCTTGCAAAGTGAAGGCAACAAGTACTGGACAGCCTGCCCAGGGACCATGCGGTGGCTGAACTGTCGTCTTGTGAATTCAATGTGGCTTACTGCTGTGATCCGGAGTGAAAACTACCAACATCACCACCACCTGTCCAAAGTTATAAACATACCATTCTATACCACTAGCCCATGGCTGTACTGCCAACAGCTATAGACATACCCATGTATGCCCCTTAATGCTTTCCCGCCCCCAGTTATAAACTTCCCCCATTTTATGTATGTTATCCCTGTCCTGTCAAAATTTAAATCATAAACATACCCTTTCTATGACGTGTGTCATATGCACGATCATCCATGACAATAGTAAACGATTACACTGCGGTAATTCATTGATCAACTTTAGGAAGCCCTCAATCCTACGTCGCTCATTCCTGATCGCTGTAAAACAAACAAAGAATGTTTATCTGATATCATACATACAGTCAAATTTGTCTATAAAGGGACTCCACTGACATGGCAGGACTGGACAATTTTTTTTTAAAGATTTATGTTCCATTTGTAGGTCTAGACCAATAACTTGTGTCAAAATTTCAGATCATTCGCTCACTCTGGTTATTTATAGAAACATTTTTCTAGTAGTGAAACATGACGCAAAAATGAAAAGCATTGTAACACTTTTCACTCAAATCAGGCTATGAATAGCACAAAAATACAATTTTTTCAATTTATTTCTGAATAATCTCTTGTATATCTTTTTGTTTTAAGAGTTCCTATGGATCAATAAGTAATACAAATTTTATTTTCAGTGGATCTCTTTTAAAGTTCAAGAAAAGTCTAAAGAGATTATGCCTCAGAAACGAATAAATAATTCATTGTTTAGAAAAAGAAAACATGAGTTTTATAGCGAGGCTTAAGTAAAGTTTAGTAGAATTTGATAGAGTTACTGGTCCTGGTGCAAAAATTTCTTGATGTTGTCCACTGTCACATCTTACCTTGAGGTATGACCTTGAGCTTTGACCTAGTCAAACGGTTCTTACCGGTAACACTCAATCTTGTGATGTTGAACATTTGTGACAGGTTTTTTTGAAATACCACTAGTAAGTGACAGAGTAATGGTGCGGACAAGCTGTTTGAGACCATTTTTTTTGCATTTGACCTTAAAGTTTGATCTTGACCTTTGACCTGGTCATATGATTCTTGCCAACTCATTATTGTGAACATTTGTTATTTGAATTTTCTGCCAACTAATGACAGAATTACGGCCCGGACAAGCATATTCCCAATGGACGGACACACATACATATATACATACACCAAACTGGCATTGTGACAACTGTGTCCAGCTCTCTGCGAGTAGGCTTGACAAAAATGAAGGCAAACAAAGGCTAAAAGAAGGACATAAATAAACTTACTAGATGCTTCTTCAAACTTCGGAATAAGTGCGTTTGTAAGAACAGGTTCAGGAAGTTCACGAAGAAACTGCTTGAGTACACCGGCTACGATATTCGGTTCATGTTCTTCTAGGTATACTGCCTCCCCGCGGTTATACAAATCTTTGAGATGTTGAACCTTTGATTTCACACCAGAAATTCGATATATGCCTTCACACCTCAGACCTATAAAAACATTGTAATATTTTGTAACAGATGATTTACTTTCTAACAATGTGCATCGTTACTATAAAGTTGTTAAGTGTGAGATACAAAGTCCAATATGATATATATCTATATATAGCACATAACATATTATTGTAAGAGATAGATAATCCAATATGACATATATTTAACTATATATATCACATAACATATTACTGTATGAGATACATAACCCAATATGACATATCTATATATAACACATAACATATTATTGTATGAGATACATAATCCAATATGACATATATCTCACTATATATATCACATAACATATTATTGTATGAGATACTCCCAATATAACATATCTATATAACACATAACATATTATTGTATGAAATACATTATGAGTCCAATATGACATAGCACTTAACATATTATTGTATGAGTTATATAGTCCGATATGACATACCTATATATAGCACATACTATATCCTTGTAGAACAAAATATTATTATTCATCATATAAAAGTTCATACAAATACCACTCATGTGCCTGTACTTTCTTTTTTTATCGCATATCAGTTATCAATATGGAATTATCCAATACTTTTTTTAACATTGTTTATCTTTTAAATTACAAATTTTGGAGGGGAATTTTTGTGTAATTTTGGGGATTTTATAGTCATTAATTGGGAAATTTGATGTCTATTTTTAACTGGGAGTGGTGCCGTTTTGTGGTATGAGCTATATAAGTAAAGAAATGATGTGACTAAGGATCAACAATTGCATGACTGGATTCAACAATGAAAATTATTAATTTTCACAAACAATAACAATTGGAAAAAATAACCCATGTTTTGACTTTTGCATCTTACTGTTGAACATTATTTTGTCAACAATAGTTGTGCCATTTCACACTTAAAAACCATCAATTTTCTGATTACTAATGCAATATTGACTCAAATCATGAAATTTGTCTTTATTTCCTATGAATAAACAATTAAATGTTCTAAACTTTGTTCAGATTTAGAAAGAATAATAAAATATTTAAGATGGCTTGATGTGAATCATTATATAAAAAGTCACTAAATTTAAGTTTGTCTCACTGCAAATGCTTTCCTGCCCAAAAAAATAAAAATTATAACATTGGCCAATATTTTAATAAATCGGTCATTTCCGGAACGTTATTTTTCACAATCTTTGGTTTTCAACAATTTTTAACCGTTTATCACCGGAATTTAGTACATAGCGATAAAGGATGAGTGATTGTAAATAATCCAATGCCCAAGATTTTGAAAAAATAACGTTCCTGAAATAACCGATTTGCTACGATATTGGCCAATTATAGAATTTTTTTGGTGGGAAAGCATCGCAGTAAAACTACTTTTAAATCAACTCCCTGTCTGACCCGATAAAGGACTGTAATTTTTGCGTCTCATCTACATGTAAGTAACACAATTCTTCTACATTTTCACAGTCAATAATATATACAAATACTGTTTATCACATTAATCGTGACCTCAAAAGCCATCAGACATGATCTTGGGTCATCAAGTCGATAGGCAAATTATTTCAAACCATTTCATTGCAACAGATGAGAATATAGTCTCTGATTACTTTACAAAACAAATTGTCTGAGTTTTATGGAGAGCAAAAAACCCCCAAAAAACAACAATTTAAAATTGTCTTTAAAATATAATAATTATCTTTAAGAATAATATTAACAAAAATTATATAAAACAATCAAATTTTTTAAAACTAAAAAAAAAGTCTTATAAAAAAACCAAACAAACTTCATGCAAACATTGAAAATTAAAATTAACTTCAAACCTTCATATTTTCTACAGATATCCACTGAAAAAAATATTTTGTTTCTATTTAAAGTTGAAACTGACAACACAATCTAGAAGTATTGTTTTACTCTTTAAATTTGCAATTGACCACTCAATATAACAGTATAGTGTCACTATAATTATAAGTTGCAATTAACGATACAATCTGATAGATTCCTCTGTCAATCATAATCTAAGAATAGTGGCATGGCCGATTCATGGCCAAGTGGGTTATCTGTCAGACTGGTAATTTAAGAATTGCTGATAACGTGGGTTTAAATCATGTCTGTGGCAAGCCATTGTTGCAAGAAACTTTACATTCACTGTTTATTAATGGTTGGTTCCAGGAAAGTATTAAGAATATAGCTTATAACACAAATAAACTAAAGTAAATTTGTATAAACTTAACAATCATCATAATCTACATGAAGCTAAGAGAGGTACACATGTGCCAAAGACGTATATTAAAGCACTGAAATAACTGACACGTTTTTGTGTATATTTCGTCAATGAAATGAATGACACGCCTTTGTGAATATTTCAACATGGAAATAACTGACACGTTTTTGTGTATATTTCGCCATGGAAATAACTGACAAGTCTTTGTGTCTATGTGAATATTTCGACATGGAAATAACTGACACATCTTTGTGAATATTTCGCATGGAAATAACTGACATGTCTTTGTGAATATTTCGACATGAAAATATCTGAAACGTCTTTGTATATATTTTATCACTGAAATAACTGACACGTCTTAAAGAGTATAATGAGCAACTCACATCACATTATTTCTTCGTCCCATACAACCTGACATCATTAAAGTTAAACAAGGACAAGTGTTTGGTTAACAAATATCAGGGTATTTTGTTCTCAGCAATTTGAGAAAGTTGTTTGGGACAACCTCGAACAGATAGAGGGACGGACTGACAGTTCAGTAGCTTTATACCATTGGGGGGTTGGGGTGGCATAAAAAAGAAAGATTATATTCACCATGTTCCTCAATATAGTCTATACACTCGCGGAAAAGTGCCGGCAACTGTACACCATCGTGACTCCGGTTTCTCTCGATTGCCGTCACCAACGGGACACCAAACACTGGCTTCTCAATGGCTTCCGGTACTGTTTAAATAAATAACGAGAAAATATTTTATTACAATCATAATTTGATGAATTCATCAAAAGCCTTACACATTTGTGTTTTTTTGGAAAGCAGGGGAGGGGAGGGAAAGGGAGTGGACAGGGGGGATGGGGGTAAGGAGGCCCTGGTTAAGTGCAATCTCAGATATAGGGATTCAGAAGATAATTGCTCGCTTTCAGATTTATTGAATCAAGTTCAAAATGTCAGAAAACATGAAAACCCCCAATTTAGCAATATTAAACTTGTTTTTTTTTTACAGAAAAAGAGTGTTTTTATGAGTATAAAATATCTGTACTTCAGGCACATGCCTGAAAACTTGTACCCATGCTTATTTTTTTCCAGAAAAAGAGGCTAGTACTTTTTCCAATGTTTGTTTAGCTGGTGTGTTCTCGACCAAAAGTACCTTTTTTTATTCTCAACAATTTGTAACAGCCTCATTATAAAATATATTCAAACTGATGGAATGGTTATAAATGCTCTTAATCTTTTACTTAAACATTATTAAACACATTTCTAATGAATAAAAAAATTTGGATTTTCCGAGGCATAACGTGGCTCTAATGCCAATATAAACCTATAACTACAAATGTTTACCTACCTGGATGAGCCGGTAAATCACGATGTTTTGACTTCTTCTTTACCTTCAACTTCGGCTTCTTTTCTCCTTTATGTTTCTCTTTATCTTCTTTCTTTCCATCTTTCTTTTCATCCTATATGTATAACAGGTGATAAAAGTTCATCCTATAACAGGCGATAAAAATACTGTAAAATGAGAAATCTTTGTGAGGATTTTAGCTTTAACAGGTGGTGATAAAAAAAATTGATAATTCATAAACTGTAAAATCAGAAATTTTCGAGAGAGACTGAATTTTGCTGATTTTGTGAATTAAATGTGTATTTTTTTTAAAAAAAATTACCATATAAATATATAGTGACTTTCCAGGTTTTTCTACTTGACGATGACCTCAGGAGCTCTTCAGTGCATTATCTTCAGCACAAACAGGCACCTGAGTAGAACCAATGACTTTCCTTACCCTAGCTGGACAACTTCCCCACATGAAAGATAACAATTCTACGCAAATTTGATCACTGGCCTTCTCACTGCTACTCAAGGAGAGAACACAGTCTGTGTTTGTATTTTGTTGATTTTATGATATTTTGGTCATATGAATATATATATTTTGATTTTACAGTATGTATATACTTACCCTTACTCTTGACAGAATGTCCTTCTTTGAACCAAACCTGAATGCCTTCCCTTTTTTCATCTTTGATGGACTTCTGTAATAAAAAAAAATACATAACATTTTGACATTCAAGCCAAAAAACAGTTTATATGTCACAAAATATGTCCGTGAGAAATGTAGGAGGAGTTGCGCACATACATGTAAGAAATACACCCATTAACAGTCACTATATGAACTAGGTATATAACCAAGGTATATTGAGTGAAAACAAACAAGTTGTTTCCCTTATTTTCGAGTAAAATCGATATCTCTGATGCTGAAACAATGCAAATTTAGCAGTTTTTAGCTCGACTATTCGAAGAATATGAGAGCTATTGTAGTCGCCCCGGCGTCGGCGTCAGCGTCGGTTAAAGTTTTTTGTAAAGTCAAATATCTCAATTATTACTTGAGATATTCAATTGAAACTTACAATACTTATTTATAGTAACAAGGTTCATCATATTGACAAGTTAGATAACTCTGCCTACAATATTGACAGAATTATGCCCCTTTTTAACTTAGAAATTTTGGTTTAAGTTTTTTGTAAAGTTAAATATCTCAATTATTGCTTCAGATATTCATTTGAAACTTACAATACTTATTTATAGTAACAAGGTACATCAGATTGACAAGTTGGATAACTCTGCCTACAATATTGACAGAATTATGCCCCTTTGGAACTTAGAAATTTTGGTTAAAGTTTTTTTGTAAAGTCAAATATCTCAATTATTGCTTGAGATATTCAATTGAAATTTAAAATACTTTTTTATTGTAACAATGTACACCAGTTTGCAAAATTGCATAACTCTGCCTGCAATATTTGCAGAATTATTTGCCCCTTTGAAACTTAGAAATTTTGGTTAAAGGTTAAAGGTCTTCAAAGATATTTACTTGAAACTTTACACATGCACTTAGGGTCATAATTGGAGGGTCATAATTGTATGTCACTGACCAAATTCCATAACTCTATCTTGCATTAAGGCTGATTCATATCCCCTTTTCTACTTAGTCTCTTGGTTAATGTTTACATGCAAGTTTTACATATCTCAATAACTATTAAAGATATTTATTTAAAACTTCACATATGCATTTAGGGTCATAATTGTAGGTCACTGACAAAGATCCATAATTCTATCTTGCATTTAGGCTGATTTTTCTCCTCTTTTTCAACTTCATGGTAAAGTTTTGCTTGTAAGCTGTTATCTCAATAACTACTGAAGGGTTTGTGCCTTTTTTGGGACAATTTTATGCATTTATAATAATAAAGCAGTGATTTACTTGATAAAACATCTTAATAACAAGCTTTTGTACCTTTTCTGTCAAATTTATGTATTCATAGGTAATTAGTATTATTATACTCAAGAAAACACCCTTGTGACATTACCTTCCGAATAGTCAAGCCAATACTGTATAATTAGACTCTCTCTAAGGCCTATAACATGAATTTATAAAAAAATTTAGCCCTTTTGTGAACTTAAAAAATTTAACATTATCAAGGCTCTTTTACTATCAAGCACTTAGAATAGTCGAGCGTGCTGTCCTACCGACAGCTCTTGTTAAACTGCTAATCTGGGGCGATTTAATGTCCGATTTTAAAATTTATTACACCAATGAAAAGCTTGTGATCTTAGCTTCTTAGTCTCAGTATATATTTCAACACATTGTTTGACACTGAAGGTATTTAACTTAACGGTTAAACCTACCACAAGTCAGACCATTTTACTACATAAATATCATACAGACAAGTTAAGAAACACTTCAGTTAAAAACTGGCAAGTATGTCAAAATCAGATCTTTTTTGCCCTGCTTACATGTATAAAGAAAAAAATATACTGATCAATTAAAAAAAACAACCCAAAAAACAACAATAAAAATCAACATAACTTACATTTGAATATCTACCATCTACATCTAATGCAGAATCAATCTTCCATCAATAAAGTGGTACTTTACACTTTTACTTACCAATATCCTGCTTAGCGCAAAAACAATGACTTCTAAACACTTAATATATTACACTTAAACTAGTTCAATAAAATCTATAAATATATTAAACTGCATGCCTCTGGATGATTAAATTTTTTTTCCCAAGGAAATCAACTTTTAATCAAGTTTTCAACAACAAAAAGTAATAACTAAAAATATTCACAATTCAAGTAATGATTCATCATAATGCAATGAATTTTGCAGTAGTCATCACTATTTCACTACAGTACTGCATGACAAACCCAGGCAAGTTTTGACTAAATTTGGAAATTAAAATGACAAACGCAGTAAGGACTACTTTTGCAAGTTTTGACTAAATTTGGAAATTTAAATCGACTGTAAGTGCCATTTGCAATGCGTAAATTGTTTCCTTTTGGTTCCTTCTCCATATTACACATTCAAATACATTATTAATTTTTTTCATGAAAATTAGCAGCAACCGGTTTTATATTACTGCAGTTAATTAAATCTGCATGCCTCCAGATGAACAGAAGTTCTTAAAGAAAATCAATCAAACTTTAAAATAATTTATCACCATATTACTACTGTGTGGCTAACACAGGAATATAATTGCATATTTCAACCTCTTTTTGCTAATTTAGGTGAATTTTAAGTGCCATTCACAATGTGTAAATTACTTAATCTTTTCACATCACAATATTTTACTTCTAAAATTTGGAGGCAATATGCTACTTTAATCCTTAGCATGTGAAAATTCTTAAATGGACTTTTACAAATTTCATTTTTCAAACTGTTCTTAAATCTGATATGGGAATATCAACCAAGATGAAACTTTAAAATCAGTTTTCATTTTTCAGCTGGTCCCTTATCTACTATTGGAATATCAACCAAAATGAAACTATATTTCAAGTTTAATTTTTCAATAAAATGAAACTTTAAAGTCAGGTTTCATTTTTCAATTTATCCCTTATCTACTTTTGGAATATCAGCCAAGATGAAACTTAAAAATTGAGTCAGCCAATAGTATTGATTCTAGCTAATGTAACACTACACTTTCAGTTCCAGAATGGAAATAGTTAGTTAGTAAATATAGAGAAATGAACAAACAAAATAAATGACTGACAGGGGCGGCAAAATCAATTACATGTATCTGTATTGCCCAGGTTGTCCCACAGCCTGTACAGACAAGTTTAATTTGTCAAGAATTGACTACAGAAATAATCATACAGTCCAATTAAGAAATGCTACAGATAAAAATGGACAAGTAAGCCAATATCAGATTTTGCCAACCCTGAAAGACTTATTGATAATAATAGAATTTACCTCTATAATGTAAACATACAAGAAGAATTGATGTACAAAATCCCATATCACCATACCACCATAAACGAAACAGTTACATGTCATAAAATTTTTATCTTTATTTCCCACTTTAATGACCACTTGAAAATACAGGAAAGACAATCATGTCTGGCTACTCTCAATTTCCTAATTTCTGCACTGTTACCTCCCTTTATTTGTAATGATAAATTCTGGAGTGTTACCTCCTTTATTTGAATTGATAAATTCTGCAGTGTAACCTCCCTTTATTTGAAATTATAAATTCTGCAGTGTTAATTCTCTTTAATTTGAAATGATAAATTCTACAGTGTTACAAACATTTATCTGAAGACTTTTTTATATGAAAATTAGCCTTTATTAAGTGAATATGAGAGCTGAAAATGAATGAAAAAGATAATCGAGGCCATCTACCAGGCATGAACAACTTCCCTACAAACTTAATTTCTTCACCTTAATGAGTGGATATCAATGTGACTAATGGACAGACAGATGGACAGACAATGAAAAATTCTTCAATACTGATGAAACTTGGCACAAATGTTGACTTGACCATATCCTCTGTAACAGCATGCTCAATCTTAAACTTCCTGTTACCATGGCAACATCTCAAAATTGCCAAAAATCACTATTTTTGCATTGTTTTTTCCATCAAAACTGATTTCAAAGTGCTGCAACTTCTCAATGGATTGAGATAGAGTAAAAGGCTTTTCAGCCTTGGTTACACGTTACCTTACAATAAAACTGAGGCCATTTTTAGCCTGTCACATGTCCAACTTTTCTTGACGATGAAGCGGTTCAAATCCAAGAAACAAAAGTGGGCACATTCCCCTTCTGGCAACCCCTTGATGTACCTTTTTGAACAGGGATTGCGCCGAAAAACTGATCACTTTTTTATCAACATTTTCTCAAAAGAAAAACAGTGTTTGGCGCCAAATAGGGCATTTTTTCACTGTTTGAGGCAAAAAAGCCGTCAAAACACGTCTATATGAGGTATAGGGTTAAGTATGTATGGGAAGCCGTGTTCCCTTTTAGGTCAAGTACAGTTAGTATTTTCTTTAAAAAAAACCTCTTTTTTTAATGACTCTATAATTATATTCATATTCTAAACATACATGTAACCTATATCTACTTTTATCAGAGCTATAAGTTTTACCGACAAAAAGGTCAAATCCCCATGATTTTAACAGAGTTTGACCGTCTAGTAAAAATCCTAAGGGTAAAATCAGGCCTTTTGGAAATTTGAAGGGTCAAAGAGTCATTTCAAGGGTCAAATGGACACCCTGTTTATGTTAAGTCAAAACATGTTTATTTTATATTTACATAGAGACTGTGTAGCGATTACCAATATTTTCTAACATGAACAGGGTGTCCATTTGACCCTAGAAATGACCATTTTACCCTTCAAATTCCCAAAAGGCCTGATTTGACCCTTCAGATTTTTAACTGAAAGGTCAAATTTTGTTAAAATCATGGGTATTTTGCCTTGTTATTCCCACTATTTAGTCAATACTGGTGGAGATGACCCTTGGGATTCTGTGATTAGTGGAAACCCTGATGAAATTTGAGCATATAATATCTTTTATGGTAAACAGTCATGACATTGAGAATATATGAGCCACGTCATGACGAATCCAACATAATGGATTTGCGACCAGCATGGATCCAGACCAGCCGGCGCAGTCTGATTAAGATCCATGCTGTTCGCTTACAAACCCTATAGCAAGTAGAGAAACTGATAGCCAACAGCATGGATCCTGATCAGACTGCGCTAATGCGTAGGCTGGTCTGGATCCATGCTGGTTGCAAACGCACTATGTTGGTTTTGTCATGACGCGGCTCATATCTACTAACTTGGTGTCGTCTGGTGCAACCAAATCTTCATCACTAGCGTCCGCATCAAACATTACGTAACCCTTCTCCTTCTTATCCTTTTTACCATCCTTTTTCTTTCCACCATCTTTTCTCTCACTCCCTGTATGAAAAAAACAAACAACCAATTTAAATAAGAGCGAGACAAAAAAAGTGTCTGAGCACCACACTAACTACATGTACAGTATTCCGGTATATACCGGAGAAAGAAATTTCTGTAAACACATTGCAAACCACACTTGAAATCTATAAAAATTATCAGAAACATGTCAGAATGTGCAAAAATAGGCTCGCCCTTGCTGCATAAGTCACACATGCATTAGTCACACAGTACAAATTTATTGATGTAGTAGAAATATGGTGATAAATAATGAAAAATATCTTTATAAGTGGTTATTGTTAATTTTACTTCCCACATTTATAGTTTAACATTTTAGGACTTGTTTGTACCTAATATGGCTAGTAAATATTACCAAACACAAGCTCAAATTGGAATGCCTTATGGCTTGCACTTTTAGGTCCTAAATTCTTTCATTCATTAATTAATCAAAGCCTTTTTAAGTTAAAGATCATGTAACACATTTTTTTAAATCATAAATATGATGCTAACATTAAGATTTATCACTATTGTAAGTTTCAAAAACATTATTTATAAAGATATTACATAATTTAACATTTCATGTAAATAAAGGGAGGTAATAAAAAATTTATTTTCTATAAAGTCAAATTTTACAATAAGAAATTAATGCATATATTCTAATGATCACATAAATTATGCACAAATATTTGCAGTACATATTTTGCATATTCTTCAATGTCTGAAAATGTTTCATTTGCATAATTATGTACATATATTTGTTTGTTTTGGGTTTTACGTCACATCGACACAGTATAGGTCATAACGCGATGTTCCAGCTTTACTGCTGGAGGAATACCTCAGGTGCCCTTCCGTGCATTTTTTCAGGCACGAACAGGCATCTGAGTAGAACCATCGACGTTTCATAAGCTAGCTGGATAGCTTCCTCACATGAAAGAATCCAAAGTCCCTGGCAGGATTCGAATCCACAGCGGTGAGGGGCAAGTGGTTTGAAGTCAACGACCTTAACCACTCAGCCACGGACACCCCCATGTACATATGTATTATAATTTCACTTAGCGTGGTTTACCACTTTGATCACATAGGATCTTTAATTAAATACAATATTCAAAAATATGATTAAATAATTTACCAGGGTGACCCCTCTCCGAATCACTCATCTTAGGTTAGTAAGAGTAATGCTGTAGAAACATATTTAACACTGAACTACATACATCACCTCGTGACCTGCAATAAAGGCATGAAGATTTACATCATTTTCCAATTTCAGGGGTCAAATGGATACAAGCTCTGTAATAGATCACTAAGTTAAGGATTAATTTCCTTACTTAAGTTACTATACTATAAAATTATTTACTAGTCTAGTCATATACAATGTATCTTAAAAGTATTTGTACTGAAAGGTTTTATTATGATTGTTAATGTAGGCAAAATGTAATTTTAAATAAGCCAGTTTTTAATTTTTATGCATCCTCTTAGATGAATGAGGTAAAGAATTGCACATCAAAATGGACTTTTAAGGGGTATTTTGATGCAGGATTTTTGTCCATTAAATCCCTGAAGGCGTTTCAAATTCAATGCATTTATCATTGACCTTTATAGATCTACATCAAAGCATCTGTTTTTAACTAATCCTTAAAACTTGGACAGTGTCCCCAACAGTTATCTAGTGCTCTTTGGATAGTAGCTAGCCAAAATAATTAGCCATGAAAAAAATTATTTAACATTTAATAGTTATCATTGGGACATCTTACATTATATAATATCAAGGCTTTTTTCAATGTCTAATAGGATTGTGTCAAAAAGACATAGCATTGAATAAAATCTATCTAACCTTGGAAATATCATTAGTGGTGTTTAACCTACTGTTCGAATTATGGGTAAAATCCTATTGGGAATGGGGTAAGTAGGTTACATTTTGTTTACCTTCTCTTTATCATATCAATGCGTGTAAAACATATACAAAACTTACAATTAATAAAGATTGATATGTGTGTCATTATGCAACAATAAATTTCAAATATTATTTTCCATTACATTTATTATTGCCCAAAACAAGTTTAACTGTTCGAATATTGGTTGTTCCGGGATATAAAAGTAAGGAAGTGGCTAGCCGTACGGCTAGCCAAAAGTTCTAGCTGTATGTGAGTCACGTATGACTAGCCAGGACTCACTGTATTATCTAGCCGTACGGCACTTTTCAAAATTATATGGAAGTCGAACATGCATGTTATTTTGTGCCTCATGATTCTGATTTGTTGTTTTATTTGTATGAAAGATGAATTTTTGTTAATTAAGCACATGGATCAAATAAATAATGATCGGAGTGGAATAAATAAAAAGAATTAACATTGAAAAAAACAACAAAAAAACAAAACAAAAACAGTGAAAAGCAAAAATAATTGTATAATTTTCAAATACAGTATATAAATATCAAACATAAAAGCACAATCAATTTAAATTACCTATTATTAAAGCCTACCCAGGGACTGACAATAGAATTTTAAAATGCGCTTCACTGAACATGCATACTTTCCTTATATTAACAAACTTCTATACAGTACCGTCGTTAATTGACGCAATTATCTGAGCCCAACAACAACAATTTTCGTTGTTTTTTTTTCGTTTCATTTTAAATGTGTCGAAAATTAAACTAAATGAAACAAAAAAAGGATTATCATCAAAATTTTGTAAACTATTTCAATTGATGTTATTTAACTGCAACCAAACACTATTTTTTCTTAACGTCTTGAGATGACAAAGAGCGATATTCATACTTTTTTTCTGTAGCCAACAAGGCGTTTAATCTCTAAAAAGTTGACATATGAAGACGGTTAAAATCCTCACTTAAAGTCATAAAATAACACATGCATGTTCAACTTCAATATAAATTTGAAAATGCCGTACGGCTAGCCAATACAGTGTGTCCTTGCTAGTCGTATGTGACTCATGCACTAACAAAGTTCTATGCTCCTGCGTTTATGAATAAATTATGCAAATGAGCCGCCATGTTGGAGTTTCGGTAAGCGTGTTGGAAATTGCTACCTGTTCGTTTTGAAAGCTCGTCCTTACTTAGAGTTTCCTTGAATGTAGGAAAACTTGGTTTTGTTTGATTGCATAATGAATGATAGGTATAACAAAATAAATATAATGAAAATCGATCAATCAATAATTGCATACGAGCGTTATAAAGTCAATTTAATTCGTCAGAATAATAAGGTTCTGTTGCAGGGTTTCGGTAAAAGACTGTTTTTTTTCCCCGTTTTTGAAATTTATTTGAACATGGAGACAATTTTTCTCAAACAGGTTTATGAATATACTTTACGTTGCAACAGAGTTTACCGTGTGTCCATTCCTTATTTAAATTGTCTAAGAAGTTAAATCTGTTTGTTTACATGTAAATGTGTACCGTCATTTTGACCGCCTGGAATAAAAACTACTATGACGGTGATAATACCGGATATGTAATGAAAATTACGCCGTGTAGTGCAAAGTTTTGGACATTGCAATTAAAATTAACGCTTACGTTGATTCAAACTGTTCCTTGTCAGCAAAATTGAAACCGAAAGTAGTGGTTGTTCTAGAATTTAATCGAATAAAATGGGTGGGATTTAACCACCGCGCATGCCCTGTGCGACGAACGTATTGTTTACATCCGGTCGTAGCATAGGGTAAGAGTGCAAACTTTGTTAGTGTCATGTACCGCTAGAACTTTTGGCTAGACGTACGGGCCCGTACGGCTAGCCACTTTCTAAAAGTAAAGAATTTCATGTGCAATGCAATGAAAATTATATTTTTATTTTATCACCAAACTAACAGTTTCAAAATCACTTCTATAATTGGTTCGAAAAAATAAAAAACAGGTTTTAAATGTCTGTTTAATATAAACTGAAATCGCATAGAGGCACATTAAAAAATAAATCCGAAATAACAATATCCGAATATTGGTACCCATAAACAGTCAGTCCAAAAATGCATTAACACTTAACAAGCGCAACAATATGCATTCAAATATTAAAGTCGTAAATATCAGTGATCTTTCTATCTTAAAAAAACTAAATTCTACTCTATAAATACTGTAAAATCGAATTTTAAAGCTAAAAATTACGATTAGTTCTGTGAATCGTGAGAGTGGAGAAATCGTGATAACCACTAATTGTGCCTAGGTCAAATGTAACCAACGCTTTTCATATTTACACATACAGATCGAGCAACACGCTCGGCTGCTTATTGATTCTAGAGGCTGAATTTTTGGGAAGATTCGAATATGCTATTGCTAATAGATTTCTTATCAATAGAAGGCCGCTATGCAGACGTTTTTTTTACTCGTTCTCTATATGATATCATGGTTCTATGATATCACTGTACAGTATTTATATTTTTTCTGCGACTGCATGCTAACATCTTTTTATGTACGACATTATCAAAGATGATCACGTACATATACCTGATTTATAATACCTACGTATTTTTCTTTTACTTTTTTGTTCACGTGCGGTTCCCCCAGTTTTATGTAGTTGTTATTTTCAGGGTCAGATACTTCATTATATATAGCTCTGTGCCTGGGTGTACATGTAGTGCATGATACCTTAGCTGCCCAGTTCCAGATGTAACTGGTTCATTTACATGCCAAGGGTAACGCAACGACACCGAGATAAACCTTTGATTTCAATAAAGGTCTCATTCGAAAGACCATTAATTAGTTGTTTTTTTTAAGTGGAGGAGCGAAAATCGAACGATTGTTTACGCAAAACAGGTGGGGACATTAATTTCAACTTCACGAATTCCTGTTTACATCCCCGTTAATTCACAATTAAACTTCGTGAAATAACGCTTTCAACCTACAGAATTAATGAATTCACGATTTCAACTTCATGAATTCACGATTTCAACCTCATGAATTCACGCTTTAAACTCTGTGAATTCACGATTTGAGCTTCGTGAATACACAATTTCAACTTCATGAATTCAAGCTTTCACATACTGAATTGATGAATTCACGAGTTCAAGTTCATGAATTAACCATTTCCACTTCACGAATTTACGATTTTTAAATATTTTTGACATATTATAATTATTTGACCATTTACACGTTTGTAACGTCGCTTTTCATTGGATAATCGTGACGTTTATATATAGTTTTATTTACAAGGCTGCTGTCAATTTTTGAAGAAATCTTACTTTTCTCACTTAAAATGATGCTTGCTGTAGCGGCTCAGGTTATATTTCCAAACAACCAATTATATAGGGTCATATAACCTGTCAAAAAATCTTTATAACAAATAGTGTAAACGGTTATAAAATATTTGCAATATAACCCAAAACGTTCAGAATATTATATATTTTGAACGAAAACTGGTATTGTTAAACACTTATTAACACTTAGCAACTAATTTGCAATTTCTTTCACTTTTAACATGTACACGCATTAAATCAAATATATTTGATAAAATTATCCTTTTAAACGTAGCAAAGTAATGTTTCGCTCCATTGAACACCAAGGCGTAACCCTATACACCCGGTTACGGTTCGTCTATAATGTTTTGCATGAGTTGTTGGTAAGTAAAAAACCATGCATTGTTGTATCATATGTGAACATTTTTACTGAAATGGATTTAAATCAGATGGTATGTTATAATTCTTGTTATCATAAATTAAAATATTTTTGTACCGAAAGCTTAAACTTGTATATGTGTTTCTTTCAAATGTTGTTTTTTATTCTTATAAAAATACACTATTACTTTATTTCAATAAGAACGTAATCTTAGCAAGGCGAGTGTGGTCCGGAAAATGGTATTATAAGAATGTAATCTATCACTGTCAAGTAACAGAATGCCAAAATCCCGACCCATATGATAATCACACTTTTTGATTACGTCACAAGTTCGTTTTAAAGATGCATGCCTCCAGATAAGCTAAAATATTTAAAAAAAAGTCTGACCTGTAAAAAATTACATTTTTTTGTGAGATTAATGACGGATTTTTTAGTATTTATCACTATATTTTTAAGTACTGCGTAACTAACGCATAATGGACTACGTTTTTTTGCATATTTTGACATCTTTTGGTAATTTACGTCGATTTGTAAGCGTCGTTTGCGATGTGTTAATTATTTAGTTGTATTCACCTTACAATGTATTTTTTTCAAACACATTTTTGTATATATTTAATGAGAATTAGCTTGATCTGGAGGCATGTTGCTTTAAATTCTGAGGTATATACGTGATGGTTGTTAAATCGTTCCTAGTTATTTTGTGTTTTGTATCAAATTTAACAAAATCCAATACCAGACATCGATACCACAATATATATACCATATTTATACCATGTAGATCTCGATGTCCTATTATAATACAGTGTGCATTTACTCCTGACATCAATGTCCTCATAAAATAAATATCAAGCTTTTGAAGTCAATTGGTCTATAATGGAATGTCTGCAGAAATAATCAAATTAATTATTCAAATTCATCATCGCAACAGTAATTTCTCAAAACAAGCTAATCTTAACAAATGATCAATTTTTAAGATTACATCAAATTGTTTATGAAGTTGTTGAATATTGATAAAATCTATTCTTTCGTTATTGACTTTTTGTCCTACGCTGAATGCGCATGCGCGAAATGTTACTTCCGTTTCTATGAAAACATCGATTTGACATATCAATATATAGCAGATAATAAAATGTGTGGGAAAAAATATTATTATAGTCATCATACATATTATATGTTATTTTGGTTTTGGAGTGATATATGTGGATATATTACCTGCTAAGATTTTATATCACCCGAGCCGTTAGGCGAGGGTGATATTTTATCTTGGCAGGTAATATATCCACATATATCACTCCAAAACCAAAATAATAATTTCATTACCCTTCCCCTGCCGAGTTTAGAGGATTTTTTAAAAAACCATGAAACGTCGAAATAAGATTCCCTTTAGGGTACCTCTTCATCACAACATGACGTCACATAAATACATGACGTATTTTTCCCGTACCTAACGAATGTAAACAAGAGAAAAGGAGTAGTCTATTGAAAGCACTTTTTTGTAATTAATATCAAGCTTTCATAAGGTCATATTTGTTTTCAATACTGATGGGAATTTGTATCATTACTCTACTTTGGAAAATATTTATCATTTGACAGTTAAAAAGTACTTGTAAATCGGAATTTACACCGCGTAAAATCGAACCGTACGCGCATCACCTCAGCGCATGTCGTTTACAAATTTGGGTACCCAACGGGGAAATTTAATGTGTATATTACCCGTCTGGCCTGGTTATATCAATTTCTTTCGGGTGATCAATATCCAATCAAAAAGGCGGAAAAAATCTGGAAGGGTAATAAATGTTCATTTTAGAACTCTTTCAACATTTTCTTTTCCAGAAATATTTCATTACATTATCCAAATGGTACATTTTTTTGTTTTAATCAATATTAAAAATACATACAGAAAAATTTGCCTATGTAGACCAATCCATTTGAATGCATATGTAATTATGGTGGCTAATTTGGTATGCTTTTGTGCGTCTATTTGGTGCTAGCGACAACATGACAAAGCGCCAAACGGCGCTTTGTCGCGCTGTCGTCTGGTCTCTAGCGCGACACGCTAAACGGAGCCTTGTCGCTTGGTTTATAAGCTTATCCTTCAATTTGAACCGAGCGACAATGTGACATCGCGACAACACGCCGTACGATAACGCGCCGTTTGACGTGCCGCGCTAGAGACAGGACGACAAGACGAAATCGCGACAAGGCGCCGCTTGGCGCTTTCTCGCTTGTGCCACCGCACGCGATGCACAAAAACGTACCAAATCAGCCACCATAATAAGTAATGCTTAAAGGCTCCATTATACTAAATATTAAATGCATATACAATCTCTGAAATGTTTACTTTGTCTTTCTGTAGAAAAAGGCAAACGTTGTGTTTATAAATGGTGTAATAATGAATGTAATAGACTAGGGACATGAAGGATGTTTATCACCTGAAGAAAACAGTGCTGAATGAGAAATAAGCACAGTACTACCGTTATTGTGACATCAATATCATAGGTTCCAATGCTCATGCTATTGCAAATAACACAAATCGTAATATTAATGCTACATGTCTTCAGATGAGTCAAAACTTTTAAATAAAATCAAAAAATGTACTAATTAAGATGTAAGGAAAAGTTTTTTTTTCAAGATTCAAGTAATATTTTACACATTATTTGCGATTAATGACTGATTTATTCAGTATTTACAACTATATTTCTACTATTACAAACTCAGTAAAGGCTATTTATGAATATTTTGGCCACTTTTTTGGTAATTAATTAACGTGGATTGTAAAGTGACATTCATGATGTGTAAATTGCTCCCTTTTGGTAACTTCATAATATTACACATTCACATACATTTTCAAAATTTTCATGACAATTAGCACGAATCTGGAGGTACGTTGCTTTAAATCTGCTCAGATTAAATAGTAACCCACCGGTACCAATGGTTTTTTATGTTACCAATGGGGGGGGGAAATTTTTTTTTAAAAGGTAAAAAATGCCCCTGAAATGGGATTAAATGTTAGCCTGGAAAATTTTTAGTTAAAGGGAATGTTTGATACCTTTTTAATACCCCCAGACACCCCCAGTATATTTTTCCCCTACCCTTTAAAAAAAAGGGAACTTTTTTGTCTACAGTATATGGACTCAATTTTAATAAACTAATTTTAAGTTTGTCTACAAATAAAAAAGTTTATATAGTGATATATTGTAATGATACGACTGGCTTGTCACAGCCCCATAGACCATGAAATTGTAACACGCATGGTTTGACTTAACATTCACCATAAATCGTATTATGCCTCAAAATATGACATTTATGTTTACAGTTTTACATATTTTTCTGATGCCCGTCTTTCAAGAGTATCACTCATACTAACGAAACCGAGTAATTTAAGGTCAGGAGCACCTATTGATTTTTCCGCTAGACTTACATTAATATATCAATCGCAACTTTTACGCCTATAATAATTATAGAAGTATATATGAAAAGTACATGCGCTGGGATTGACAAATATACATTATGTTTGGAATTTAAATAAGTTTTGAGCTTAACGAATGTCAGTGGTTTATCATAAAGCAAGAGGTCGATTTATGTTCAAAGTGGTCATCTTACGGCTCAGTCAAGCGATATCGACAAAAAGGACATTTTCGCTTTAAAATTCGATCTTTTTCCGTAGAAACTGGTCTAATATTGAGCATTCATTTTTGGTAACAGAAATCATTTTTGAGTAGATTGCGCTTTATTTGGTGAAAATTGGTTGAAAATTAATAAAGATATATATGGGACTTAATAAAAATAAGACCGGGTGATAGTTCCGCCCTCTTTTTTTATTTATAGTTTTTATGAATAAAGTTAAAGCAACAACTTGTATGTGTTTTTCTAAAAATATGATGTTTTAAAAACATTTTGAATTATAAAGATATTTAAATTATCAAAATGTGGGAGTGGTCATGTACACGTACCGGGTATAATACATACTAGTATCCAAACCACGCACTGACTGCCTGTGTTTCCTTCCACTTTTTAGTTATATCAAATCCGTAAACCATTATGACCCTTCAGAGGTTTGATTAAAAAAATTATCTTATAAATAGGACATCATTTAGAATCAAATAATGTGGATTGGTCAGCAATTATCAACTTTTCAAGTATTTCAAATACTGATAAAGCAATAGAAATGTATCATTTCGATATTCTTAAAAGCTCTTGCTTGATGAACTTTAAGTTCTAAGTGATTTGACTAGTTAGGAGTTTTATATGAATAGTTTGTCATAGAAAATAGTATAATCTGTTTTAAAGAGATTAAATGACTATATACTAGGTTTAATGCTGAATATTTTAAACGTTCTATTCATCAAGTTCAAAAAATTTAGTTTTGAAACTACACGGATATAATATTTTTTATACCATAAAATATATTTTACACAAGAACGGTAAGCAGTTAAAAAGCATATCGTAACGGTAACATCTATCCAACCTACCACGGAATTTAATCCATGATGGCGTCCAATATATGGATTTATGCAAAACGGGTATATATCTTATAATGGTAAATTTTTCAGCAAAAAAATATGCCATTTTCGAGAAAAAAGAGTATAAACATTTTATAAATAATCCAGTTATAATTAAACAAGATATGTTTGTAAAACATGTATGCCGCCTATCGGCAGCCAATTAGTCATGTGATCTGGTTGTTATGCATGACTTCTGACCCAGTGAACAAACAATTAATAAGGGTTATCTAGTATCTACTGGTCATGACTAGTCACAAGGTAATAATTATTGTGACCCCATAGGTTGTGTGCAGCAATTTCAGTTATTACAAATCTTACCAAATAATATGTGCATAAATTTTATGAATCATGTAGGCCTCATTAATGACAGCCAAGTTGTTATATTACATAAGACCTTCAAACGTGTATACGAAAAGCATTTTTAGTTTAATATAAAAATATCAACCAAGGTAACTTAAGTTGTTGAGTTATTGGTCAGAAACCGTCATTAAGTACAAGGTCAATATGACATTGACCCCTTGACCCCAAAATCAATAAGGGTCATCTACTGGTCTTGACCAATCATCATACCAAGTTTGAAGTTCCTAGGCCTTAGCGTTCTTTAGTAATTGACCGGAAACCGTCTTTTCCTACAAGGTCAATGTGACCTTGACCTTTGACTCCTTGACCACAAATTCAATAGGGGTCATCTGCTGGTCATGACCAATCACCATACCAAGTTTGAAGTTCCTAGGCCTAAGTGTTCTTTAGTTATTGATCGGAAACAGTTTTTACATACAAGGTCAATGTAACCTTTGACCTCTTGACCCCAAAATCAATAGGGGTTATCTACTGGTCATGACCAATCACCACACCAAGTTTGAAGTTCCTAGGCCTAAGCGTTCTTTAGTTATTGATCGGAAACCTTTTTTACCTACAAGGTCAATGTGACCTTGACCTTTGATCCTTGACCCCAAAATCAATAGGGGTCATCTACTGGTTATGACCAATCACCATACCAAGTTTGAAGTTCCTAGGCCTAAGCGTTCTTTAGTTATTGATCGGAAACTGTTTTTACCTACAAGGTCAATGTGACCTTGACCTTTGACCCCAAAATCAATAGGGGTCATGTACTGGTCATGGCCATTCACCATACCAAGTTTGAAGTTCCTAAGCCTAAGCGTTCTTTAGTTATTGATCGGAAACCGTTTTTACCTACAAGGTCAATGTGACTTTGACCTTGACCCATTGACCCCAAAATCAATAGGGGTCATCTGCTGGTCATGACCAATCACCATACCAAGTTTGAAGTTCCTAGACCTAAGCGTTCTTTAGTTATCACTCGGAAACCATTTGGTCTACGGATCGACGGACTGACAGACAGACAAATGCAAAGCAATATACCACCTCTTCTTTGAAGTGGGGGCATAGTAACAATGAAATTCACAGCATTTCAGGTTTTTGTCTTAAAATTAAGAATTAACAAAAATTCTAATATTGTTTTATTTTTCATTAATACTATGTTCCTTTTAATAAAATGATACAAGAAATTGCATGTGTTGTAAGTTTTATACTTTAATTTCACCCCCAAAATCGGAGAAACAAAAACAAAATTTGCCTAAATAAATTATGTTATTTCTATATCTTTGCTTTTTTACTATATATGTGCTTTCATGCAATTTTTCTCTATTTTCATGTATTTTCAAGGGCTTATTTTGACCTTTTACTGCATGCAAGGATTGATGTTGCACCCATTTCATTTCTTTTTTTCATATCTTTTTGCAGAAAAGATTCTTAGTTTGGGCTTCGATTTGCGGCCTTTTGAAGACAGCTTGTGGCGTTACAGGTTTGTTAATTAATTAATAAGCATCATAACATTTGCATTTTAAAAATGTAAATTACTCATCAATCTCATTATAAATCTAATATTAATTTTGTAATTATTCAAACCATTCAAATGAAGCTATTATTAAGAGACGTCAATTGATCTCGGGTTATTCTAATCATTTTAGGCCTCTATCATGAAGAAACATGAATGGAACTAAGTTACTCTAAATGTGTACCGCACATCAATAAGATAACAATGTAGTTCGGATTATTTTTGGTTGTTTATGCCATGTCAAATGAAGTCATTATTAAGAGACAACAATGGAGTTTGGATTATTTTAGTTGTTTAGGCCATGTCAAATGAAGTCGTTATTAAGAGATTACGTTGAAGGTCGGATTATTTCAATTGTTTAGGCCACATGAAATGGAGTCATATAAGTAGGTAACAATGGAGTATGGGTTAAATTAGTTGTTTAAGCCATATCAAATGAACTCATTATTAAGAAATAACAATGGAGTTCAGTGTATATTAGCTGTTTAGGCCACATCAAATGAAGTTAGTATTAAGAGATAACATTGGAGTTCAGTTTGTTTTAGTTGTTTAGTCAAATCAAATGAAAATATTTTTAAGAGATAACAATGGAATTTGGATTATTTTAGTTGTTTAGGCCATGTCAAATAAAGTCATTATTAAAAGATTAGGTTGAAGTTCAGATTATCTAAGTTGTTAAGGCCATTTCAAATAAGGTCATTATTAAGAGATATCAATGTAGTTTGGATTATTTAAGTTGTTTAGGCCATATCAAATTAAGTCGTTATTAAGAGATTAGGTTGAAGTTCAGATTATCTAAGTTGTTAAGGCCATTTCAAATGAGGTCATTATTAAGAGATATCAATGTAGTTTGGGTTATTTTAGTTGTTTAGACCATATCAAATGAAGTAATTATTAAAGAATAACAATGAAGTTCGAATTATATTTGTTGTTTAGGCCATATCAAATGAAGTCATTATTGAGACAATACATCGGAGTTCGGATTATTTTAGTTGTTTAGGTCACATCAAATAAGGTAATGATTAAAGAGAAACAATGGAGTTCGGAGATTAGGTGATAATAGTCGTTTAAGCCATATAAAATGAGTTCATTATTAAAGAATAACAATGGAGTTCGGATTATTTCAATTGTTTAGGTCACATCAAATGGAGTCATTATTAAGAGTTAACAATGGAGTTTAGATTATTTAAGTTGTTTAGGTCACATCAAATGAAATAATTATTAGGAGATAACAATGGAGTTTTGGATTTATTTAGTTTTTTGATTCTTGGGTAATTCGTTTTGTTTAGGCTATATTAAAGGAAGTCATTATTAAAAAATAACAATGAATTTCGGATTATTTTAGTTGTTTAGTCCATATCAAATTAAGTCAATATTAAGAAATAACAATAGACTTCTAGTTAATTTCGTTGTTTAGGCCAAAAAAATGAAGCCATTATTAAGAGATAACAATGGAATTCGGGGAATTCGTTTTTTAGGCAATATAAAATGACGTCTTTATTAAGAAAATACATTGGAGTTCGGGTTATTTTGGTTGTTTAGGCCATATTAAATGAAGTCATTTTAAAGAAATAACAATGGGGTTTTGGAAAGACTAAATACCTTAATAGTGAGAGCGTTGTTGGCCGTCTCTGTCAAAATGACTGAATCGCAATTTTTATTTGGTTGCACCCAACACTTTGAAGATAATAATTATGACACCTTTTGAGCTTTCCTGGTAGCGGATGATCTCAAGTGCCTCTACATGCACTTAGAAAAGACTTGAACCACCAACACCCCGCAAGCTCACTGGATAGCGTCCTTACACGAAAAATCCAAAGTCCCTACCGGGATTCGATCGAACAGGAGTATGTGGCAAGTGGATTAAAGTCAAGTCAGAATCATACCCAGTTTTGATGGAAACTATTCACTAAAATGCTGCATGATGCTTGTGTTAAAAGTTTTGCTTATAAATACTGCAAAAATAGCCTCTGTTTGAACATACTGGTTTGTTAATTAAACTAGAACTATCACTAAATGTGATTAATACCCCCACAAGACTGCTTCGGAAATGGGGATATTACTAGTAACAGAATACCTTGTAAAAGAATTGAAATATAGAGTTATGGTTGTTGGCAATTAAAGACAGTTGTGGTTCTTGTATGTTGCATTTCCTTTCAATGTGGTTGGCCATTGATGAAGTTTAATTGAATCACTCTGTAATAAGTCCAGAAAGACAAAGAAAAGGAACAAAGGGCAAAAACTCTATAAAAACTGAAGATAGAGTTATAGTTCTTGTGCACTGCACTTCCTCTTATTGTGCTTGAACATTGTATGAAGTTGGTTGAATTCCAACCAGTATGTTTTAAGTTATGCTCAGGACAAGGAAAAGTATCGAAGGGCAGTAACTCTGTATTTTGTCAAAAAGGAGTTATGGCTCTTGTGCACTGCACTTCCTTTTAATGTCCTTGACAACTGTATGAAGTTGCATTGAATTCCAAACAGTAGTTTTCAAGTTATGCTCTGGACAAGGAAAAGTAACAAAGGGCAATAACTCTGTAATTAGTCAAGATGGAGTTATGGTTCTTGCGCACTGCACCTCCCCTTATTGTGCTTGACCATTGTATGAAGTTATATTGAATTCCAACCATTAGTCTTCAAGTTATGCTCCGGACATAAAAAACAATGGAAAAGTAACAAAGGGCAATAACTCTGTAATAAGTCAAGATGGAGTTATGGTTCTTGTGCACTGCACTTCCCCTTATTGTGCTTGACCATTGTATGAAGTTATATTGAATTCCAAGCAGTAGTTTTCAAGTCATGCTCTGGACAAGGAAAAGTAACAAAGGGCAGTAACTCTGTAATTAGTCAAGATGGAGTTATGGTTCTTGTGCACTGCACTTCCTCTCAATGTGCTTGACCATTGTATGAAGTTATATTGAATTCCAACCATTAGTCTTCAAGTTATGCTCTGGACAAATAAGCAATGGAAAAGTAACAAAGGGCAATAACTCTGTACACGATGGAGTTATGGTTCTTGTGCACTGCACTTCCCCTTATTGTGTTTGACAATTGTATGAAGTTGTTTTGAATTCCAACCAGTAGTTTTCAAGTTATGCCCCGGACAAGGAAAAGTAACAAAGGGCAATAACTCTGTAATTAATCAAGATGGAGTTATGGTTATTGTGCACTGCACTTCCTCTCAATGTGCTTGACCATTATATGTAGTTATATTGAATTCCAACTATTAGTCTTCAAGTTATGGTCCGGACAAATAAAAGCAATGGAAAAGTAACAAAGGGCAATAACTCTGTAATTATTTTAAATAGAGTTATGGTTCTTGTGCACTGCACTTCCCCTTATTGTATTTGACAATTGTGGGAAGTTGTTTTGAATTCCAACCAGTAGTTTTCAAGTTATGCCCCGGACAAGGAAAAGTAACAAAGGGCAATAACTCTGTAATTAGTCAAGATAGAGTTATGTTTCTTGTGCACTGCACTTCCTCTCAATGTGCTTGACCATTGTATGTAGTTATATTGAATTCCAACCATTAGTCTTCAAGTTATGCTCCGGACAAGGTAAATGCAACGGACAAAAAAAAGCAATGGAAAAGCAACAAAGGGCAATAACTCTGTAATTACTTTAGATAGAGTTATGGTTCTTGTGCACTGCACTTCCCCTTATTATGTTTGACAATTGTGTGAAGTTGTTTTGAATTCCAACTAGTAGTTTTCAAGTTATGCCCTGGACAAGGAAAAGTAACAAAGGGCAATAACTCTGTAATTAATCAAGATAGAGTTATGGTTCTTGTGCACTGCACTTCCTCTCAATGTGCTTGACCATTGTGTGTAGTTATATTGAATTCCAAGCATTAGTCTTAAAGTTATGCTCCGGACAAGGAAAATGCAACGGACGTCTGGACCGACCGACCGACCGACCGACCGCCCGACCGACCAACCGACCGACCGACCACCGGGTGACTCCTATATACCCCCCCAAACTTCGTTTTTGGGGGTATAATAACTATTAAAGAATACCCTGTAATTATTCTTTTAAAATTACACCAAACCAACTGACAATCTCAAGGATAGTATAATTTTAAACCTTAAAACGTCATGTCTTGTACATTAATTATGTTTTATTTGTTTGATTTAATTTGGTTTTACTTCACACCGACGTTCCAGCTTTACTTGTGGAGGAACGGGCACCTGAGTAGAACCACCAACGTTCCGTAAGCTAGCTGGATAGCTCCCTCACATGAAAGATCCAAAGTCCCTATCGGAATTTGAACCCACAGCGGTGAGAGACAAGTGGTTTGAAGTCAACCACCTTCACAACTCGGCAAGGGACGCCTTAATTATGTTTCATACAGCATACTTATACATGTTTATATCATACGATATAATATACCATATTCTATTTGATAGTAAAGTATAGCTGCTTGCCTTCACAAGTGACCGGAAGTGAGTTTAAATTCACAGTGAGGGTGAGGAAAGATGGTGATAATACTATTACAGGGATTGCAGCTGTCGACTCGAAAGTAAACCCCAACCCAGGCAATACACCAGCAGGTATTTTAACTGACATTCTTTAAGTGATTTGGCCTATAATGGAAGGTCTGTAATACAAAAGATAATTATTTTGAAAGTTTCAAGTATCAAAAATAAAAAACAAACCATAAATAATTGTTTATTAGTAATATTGGCAAGTGTGAGATATATGTACATGATCCAATATTACATATATTTATGTAATAGATAATCAGCAGTTCTAGAACGAAACATTCAATTATTGATAATAAATATTCAAACCAAATCACTTTAAAATTTAATCAACTTTTTTCCAAGCAATATCTTATTAGAATATCGAAGAGATATATTTCTATTGTTTTTATCAATATTTCTAATACTTAAGGAAATGTGCCCATTAGAGATCATTCCACTGCAATTACTTCGTCAAATCAAAAGCTTGGAAGCTGAACCTTAAACCGTTTGTCTTAAACATTGCCTAAAAGAATGAGCATATCAAAAAATAAATTAAAATAGCACACACACCCTACTTACCTATTGAAAAAATGTGCCGGTGTTGTAAATATTCATGACTCAGTAGCTATTTTGTCAAATTTGCAGACACTATTCTCGCTTGATTTAAGTGTGTAACCACTTCACGTATTGTCCCTTCCACAATATGGACACCGTTATAATTGACGCAGATGGCAAAGTTTTAGAATTATAAAAACGTTATGTTGACGTCACTTTCTATTTATAGCATCCGGTTGCACGACGACAACTGAAGAAAGCACGGGTATTTACGCATTATCTGCAGACATCGACACTGACTCCTTGTCATGTGGAGTTTCATTGGTACGTGACATAGTTCATATAACCTTTTAATGACTTATGAAATTCAGAACCCAATTCTGATTTCCGCAAACACATTTGTCTCTTTCCGGTTATATCCGTCAATCTAAGTAAAATTAATAACTGAGCGCGGATAAGAGACACTGCGATTACTATTCTATCCCACTATTGAATCATAGTTTGGGGACCTTTCTGTTGAAAATGTGTCAGAGTTAAATCGTATACATGCACAGCGCGTTAACTGCAGTGCAGGTATGAGTTACCCGCACGCCAGAGAATGCCCATTGATTGGCTCATTTTGCTGGAGTTTAATTATTGTGACGGCAAAGAGAGGGAAAGCGACAGAAATATCATATTCAGATGCTCGTTCACTCGGCAATCTGATTAATACTCGGGGGCTACGCCCCCTCGTATAAAACAGATAGCCTCATGTTTCGATGCTCTTTCTATTACTAAACCAATTACACCAATAAATAACGTATTTAAAAATAGATGAATAAAAAAATGACCTTGAAGATTATTTAAAGTTTCAAAATATGGAAAAAAGATCCTCGAAAGCATTTATCACAACAAACTTGCATAAAATTGCAGTCCCGTTTAATTAGTCTCTACATGAGGGATAATGAAAAAGTGCAACGTCACTCACGACCCCTAGCACCGGCCGGAGCGATACATTTTGTACCCAATTTTTAACACTACTTGAAAGTACTGGAATCAATGATCCCGAAATATCGGAACATATAGCAATATAGCAACACCTTCACTTCGACCAGTCACAGTTGTCCAACTTTTCATTGTGTCACATCTATGTATAAATTAATATAAAAGTTCTACAAAATTAAATAAATTTCCATATTTGACATTGAGATTCCAGGTCAGAGCATACCCGAGTTACTTTACATATCCGAGTTCATGGCGACTTTGTCCTAAATGTTGTTTTGTCCAATATAATAAGTCAAATGTATCCATTAACAACAAAGTTTTGACAAATTTTATAAAAGTCTCAATAATTCAACTTTAAAGGTCAAGGTTGTATCGGAATTACTCAATATAACAGTCTAATGGGAATTGTTGCTAGTAACTAGTAAACTGCTGGACATCCTGACCAAGAACCATGCAGTGGCTTAATTGAGCTCTGGTAAATTCAATGTGGCATACTGCCGATATCATGAGTGATAACTACCAATACTATCACAACCAGTTTGATCTGTTTCCCAAACGAGTGTTATGTCAAAAAATAGAATAGATACAAATCACCCAAAAGCAATAAAAATATGCATATGTCATAATCTGTATACATGTACAAGAAAATGTTACTTACATTACGACCCGACTCTTACAAGGACAAACTGTTTTTATTTGTCTCCCAAAAAGTCTTTAAAAGAAACATCTGCCAAGAGGACAGTTTTACAGAAATAGAAAAGCGCCTTTAGTACCAGATAGCTACGTTGTTGTGTACTAGTATGTATTAATTACGTCGTTCCCTTCGATTCGCAGACCTAATTAAAACAAAAACAGTTAATAATGAATAGCACCATATATCTGAGATATCAGTATGATGCGTGTGTTAAGCTTATTAAGTGTCCATCCGCTCTCTCAGACAGTTATAATATGGACCTCGGACATGTAGAAACCAATCATGTCCTCAAATAGTATTAAAATGCCAAAATGGCGACCTATTGGTTTTAAATCAAGTAATTCACTGAATGCGACTAAACATAAACATAATACTGTTCTGATCTTGCTCATGGTGATGCATCGTCCCCGCAATAATTATTTTGATTGGCTTATGAAATTAAAACGTTTCGTGATACTGATTCAAAATTATCTTTTAAGCGTCTGCTTCCTGAAGTCTTTCTTTGTACACACTATTGTGAGTAATAAACAAACAATTAGAAATATAAACACACCGAATAATTCCTTCAACTTATCTTATATACCGGTTTGATAGTAAAAAAAAGACTGAAATATTACAGTTTATATTATTATGCAAATAGCGAATTTATAAAAAAAATATAATAAAGTTAAGTATAAAGGACGTTTCCGTCACACAATTACTCCTGTCCAGTTTTATTTAAAATTGGGTAAGCGGTTTAAGAACTTTACAGCAAGACTAAAATCCTCGAACCAGTATACCTCCTTACAGCTTTGTTGCGCAGGTGCGGGGGAGGGGCCAATAAAATGTATCTTATACATCACTGTGTTAGATTTATATTTCAATTAAGTTTTTTTCTCTAGGATAGTGGAACAACCTACAACATTCAGATTCGCGCAACAGGGACCAACAGTTACTTCACTTTTCAATGCGATACGACAGACCTCCTACCATCTTCAGTGTCGGTTACTAATTTCGCAACAACGTAAGTATTACTGTCAGGTCTTCAAGAGGGGATCCATGTCCAAATTGCTTGATCATAACTATAACCATATTTCAAAAATCGTGTTAATTAGCCTGTTTACCGCTACCAGTGGATCCTGCTACAAACCTAAGATAAGCTGCATGATTAACATACGCATTTGCACATGTCCAAATAAACCTACTTTTACAAAACATCTGCCCTCTTTCACTGTAACTTATGGCATAAATTATGATAGTAAACTTTCTTGATCACCACTTTAGTAAAAAAAAAAGGAAAAGAAAGTTCTATTTTTTTTCTCTCTGTTCGCGTTTTTTACGACAAGCGATTCGACCCAAGGTAAAAAAACGCCAATCATCAATTATCGCAACTTATACAGATTTGTTAAGTACGTACTCTTTATGATGCAAATTGCGAATTTACAGGAAGGGAAAGCAATCAAGAAAAGAATAAAGTACGTTTCCGTCACACAATTACTTCGAACTGCGACGCATTGGTACCCCTTTGCTTTGCTACACATACCAATTTGCAATTGCTCCTTTCCAGTTTTATTTAAATTAATTAAGCGGTTTTAAAATACCGAACTTAATTCATGGAAATGCTGCCGTGTATGCTTAAAAAACAACCTATATACATTTGTACATAAAATATTTAAGAACAAGTGCTTTGTGACTTTTAATATAACTGTTGAATCGTAAACTTATGGAACACAACTCGATTCAGTTAAAGCAAAATTGAATCTACTCATGCAACCAAGGCAGGATAAAGGAAACCGACATATTGTGCCATCTGATCTGGGTCTACAGTGGTGGTTATTCAGTCCCTACTTTTATTGAAAATTTCCCTAAAAACCATATGGTGAAATATTAAAAGGTCATTTTTATAGTTGTTAAGGGTAAATATTTGATCATTAAATATAAACACGGTTTTGGTTTACTATTGACCAAACTCCTTTTGCAAGAGCAAAGAGCAAGCCCCAATCCGGTGTCAGATAGTACCCAATTATTTTATGTTTGTTTGATTAAGTTTTACGTCACACCGACAGACACAGTATAGGTCGTATGGCGACGTTCCAGCTTTACTGGTGGCGAAGACCTCAGGGTGCCCTTCTTTGCATTACTTCAGGCACGAACAGGCACCTGAGTAGAGCCAGCTAGAAGAATAACTTCCTCACATCAAATAATCCGAAGGCCCCGTAAGGATTCGAACCCACAGCGGTGAGGGGCAAGTGGTTTGAAGTCTACAACCTTAACCACTCGACTACGGACGCCCCTTAGTACACAATTAAGATATTATTTTAGTTTTTGTAAACTATAAGATACCACCATATCAACCATTCAAGTCTTACCGCAACTTTATCGTTAACGCATTTCAAAAGCGGCAAATTTTAATTTCATAATTTCATACCTTACACCTTACTTACTGTTACAAGCAGGCGGTACTAAACAGTACAGTTAATACTCTATTGTACTTGAATTCATGTTGTGGATTCAAGATAGTAAAATGTCACTACATGCTTTCATTGATATTTCTTCAGAGGTGTAACTGGTGTTCTTCACCACGTTGAGAATCCTTTTGGGATCAAGGCACAAGTGTTGGATGCAGACGGAAACTACGCGCCTGTGCGTTCAGTTAAACTAGGCCAAGACATCAAACTCAGGCTTATCTATGATACTGGGCATCTGGAAACTGGTAATTTAGTAGTTTCTACTGGCGGTTTTGTGTATGTGCGTGTTTTATGCTTAATAAGGATCCATCCGCTATTTCAGGGACTCATACAATCATGTCCTAAAAGAGCATTTTATACCTGTTGACCTATTAATTTTGAATCCAGTAATTCACTGAATGCGACTAAAACTGTTATTTTTTCTTTCTATTTAATAAATAGTAAACATGACTAATGTTTGTAAAGTAATGTAGGAGTAATAATCTTCATGAAAAAAGAAAGAAAGGGCAAGAACTCTGACACGATGCATTAATAACATTACAAGGTGCATTTATGGCATTATAAGACGTAAAAATGACACTTTATAATGTCCTTATGACAATGTGAGACACATTACTAACAATGTGAATCTAGGATGTTCAGGTCTAGGTCATTATGCAATTTCGACCGCCTTGCTACTCGGCATTATTTTACCAGCGAATGAGCGCACGTGCAAAATGACGTAATCAACTAACTTATCAGTTCTTTTCAAGATGTCTGCTGACGCTTAATGAACTGTAGTCAATTGCACACAAAATTTTAAGTTCAAATGACATAATAAATCGCAATCAACAAAGCTTAAAATTGATGATTTATAACTCAAGAAAAGAATATAATAACTTTACCCAAGAAAAAACATGACCCTCAATGATTTCAAAAATGGTTTAAGTTTGACGGTAAAAAAAATCGGATTGGTGGCATTTAGAGCTAGACATCAGTCTCAGAAACCGTTTTTGAAGGCACGAAAGTTCACAAAAAAGACTGGCACTAAATGTTATTCTCACAAAAAATAAAGAGTACTTTTCGATATTGACAACATTAAAACAACATTTTCTCATATTTATTTTGTTTTGTCATGTATTCAAAGTTAATCTGAGGGTTAAACTGAATGACAGATAATTGTTTACATGGACAACTGTCCGTTTCTTAGAAAGGGCGACAATCAAGATTAGCGGTGATGTCTAAATGCCATGTTTCGGACATATAATACCCGGTTGTTTCCCGCCATTATGCGGCGCTAAGGCCATTATACACATCTTCAGGCCATTATCGCAAAATGACGAGCAACAACCAAGTATGTACCTTTAAGTAATGACACTGTTACTATAACATACTAGTTTTACTTTTTTGAGCCTGTATCTGTCATATTTCCCCTTTCTTTTTTATCACATGTACATTTATTTAAACAGTGTCTATTCTAGGATTTGAAAAAATAGGGGGAATTTTTATCGAAAAGTGAGAATTTATAACATTTACTGATTTTTTTCCTTCTTTCACTATTTAAAATTTTCATCCTGCCTCTGAAGACATAGGGGGTGGGGAATTCTAAAAAATAGGAGTGAATCCCCCAGTCACCCCACCTAGAATAGACAATGCTGACAATGTCTCAAAATTGTAGAAAATATTGTTTATTTGCATTATATGTATATTTTAAAGGTCCAACAAATTTAGGGATGGTGTTCCATACCGGCTATATACGGCATACAGGCTCAGAGCTGTATCTAAAGTTGTTCACCCCAGGTCTCGGGACCAATGTCCACATAACAGGAGTACTATCTGGAAAAACAATCGACGAATGGGTTGTTGTCAAACGTGACAGCCCGGTAAGCTGCCAAGCTTTTTTCTATAAAGAGTTATCATTCATATCCTTAGTTTGGTGACTAAGTTATTTCCCTTTATCTTTTCAAAAAAATGCAAACATTTCTTGTATATTGCTAATTCTCCCAAACTTCAAATAGTGATAAATTATTTATTTGTGTTCAATTACAAAATATGGGAAATTACTCTTACAAAGTTACCGGTCCTGACACTCTTACCCTTTATACAGACTAAGATTATCCTATTATTCGAGTTATGCAGAGTTACTGTTCTTACATAAATCTTCTGTAGTAATCGAGCTTTCTCCATCAATTGTCATTGGTAGTTCACAGAACTGCTTATTATGACCCCAGTCTTTTCAGTGTCTTTGGAAAAACGCCGATTTTTTCATATATTTTTGGTGTTACCTCGGACGTCGGTTCACTTAAATGGCTTTCCTGGTTATCTAACCAGTAATTACAAATTTCTCCGCAAGTGTCCGACTTAAAAGAACAATACCACATGATATCTGAATCATCGATGAGAGACAAATGACTAGCATGATTAGATTAAATATACGAGATCAAGTTTTTGTCTTGCTCGATGATCAAATCAAAGACCTATTTGTTACAAATCCGACACTCTCCTTTCTAGAGCAACGTTAGCGGACATATGTTTTAAAATGAGATAATTATAGGTGTTATCAATTACTTCTATAAGATTTTGCGCTTGCAAGTGAATATACTGTATATTGAATATGTTGGAAATTGCTGGATGTATGTTGGATATCGAATATACTGGATATTGAATATACCGGGTATTAAATTACGCGTAACAGTTCCTGCATAATTAGTTTACAGAAATTGAGACTATAAAATCTATAACGTTAACTGGTGAGAGAAGTATGCCACAAAAAAGGTTTTGAATTAGCTCACATGTATTTGTTACGCGCAATTCTTTATCCAGTGCATAAGGAAACACTAGAAAGGCTTCCCGTCCTTGCCATGATAAAGCGATTAATGTCAGCATTATCCACATCCTCCTCCTCCTCATCATCATCATCATTGACTAGTAACTTTATTGCACGCTTTAAGTATCAAACTTTTTATATAGGTCAAAGTGAGTATACCAAGTGAGTACCAGAATACAGTGGCGACGAAATCATCATGGACAAAGGAAGTTCGTGGTCTAAAAATTGAATCACGTGACTGCAAAATAGGGGTAATCCTTGGGGCTGAGAAAGGTACAGATACCTCCGCGATGACTGTCCTTCCTGATGACATTCTCGGGGATTCTTATCGCCCATTTGCATCAACAGAAAGTAAGTATATGTAAATAAATAGTGCGACTGGGCTTTTTGTTTTGTTTTGTCGATAGAGCCACGGTACGGTATTCCAAGGGTCCCTGGTTCATGTCCCAGTTAGGCTGCACATTTTTTCACTCTGTGACATTTGGCACCCAACTTGTGGCCGTAATTGTATATAGCTCAAAGTTTAATTAGCATTGCTCTGTAACTCTAAACAATTTAAAAAGCAAATTTCAATTTAGCGGGTGAGTTTGACATGTTTTGAAATTGTTTACTATTTAGGGAAAAAGGTATGCAAGCGACCAAATAGCACAGTCGGAAAAGCCGCGGAACGGTTTTCTAACCATTTACCTTTCTTCGCACACAATGCAACTGGCGAACCTTTCTACAAGGGAGATAACCGATCGTCAATCGTACCAATTCTGCTCGTACATGAACGGCGACTTGATTTTTGCATTCCTTACCAGCGCGCGTCTTTTGTTGCGATTTTTGCCAAATAACCTCTTGCCTGCCCCTGGTCTCGTGAGATTGATATTCAATATATAAATATGCCTGATTTACCTACTGGATTTGTATTTTTCATTTAGCCGCCGTTAACGGTGATCAAGAGGTCTTATTGGTGGCCACAGTTGCATCGACAGAAGTGGAGATTAAATACAATGATTTTACTAAACCTGGAGGTTTTCAAGTGAGTAATTCAAACCTAATCTATTTACAACGCGTAATTTCATTAGCTGCTAGTACAGTCTAACCCCGATTATTCGAAGTGCATGAGACTGAATATTTACTTCGAATAATCGATGGGTTCGAATAATCGAAATCGGAATATTGTGATAGACGAAAACTACTCCACTCTGACTAATCAACGCAAAACTACCGTTTACAACACACTTACTTCCTGTAATCAATTGAGAAAAATAAATATTAAAGAAAAGAAAAGACATTGAAGACACAAATACTTGCATTTTATTCTACATTATGTATCGTTTCGTTTCGCGCAAAACCTTGATAATGGCCGTGTCGTCACTACGGTATTTACAGCTAAACTCTGATATTTTCAATTAGGATAAATTAAGGCTCTCATGTAGCGTTACAATTAATGAAAAAAATGTTTGGGATGTTTTGACAATTCACATATACGGAATGTATAAAAATTATTGCTGTCATCTTAAACAGAATCGGACATGTTGCATAGCTTTTCGTTTTCGGTAATTAAAGTTGATTAAAGAACACACGAAGAGTTATCACATGATTGTCTAATTGTGGATATTTTTCACAAGTCGACTGGTCAGCGAGTGGATCTGCGTCAATTAGTCTGGCTTCGAATAGTAATTAGGCTGGCTTCGAATAATAGTTGTGACATTCTTTCATAATTGTATAATCGGGACCGGAATTTTACTTCGAAAAATAGGAGGTATTCGGATAATGCATTTCGAATCGAATAATACGCTCGTTTTTATATTGTTTTATATAGAGATAAAAACGGGACCGGCGATCTACTTCGGATAATGCCGGGTTTTCGAATAAAGGGTTGTCGAATAACCGGGGTCGGACTGTATTTAATTAAATGTGAGCAACAGCGCATTTCTTTTCTTCATTGCACGTATCTAGCACACCTTGATCTCTTGAAAATACTTTGGCGGGTTGGACTGATCAAGTTACACCCAAATATTGAAGTTTCATGGTCAATGCAAATTGAAGCCGTTCGGTTAGCTCAATAGGTAGATCTCTGGAATGTGAATCGGGCGACCCGGGTATGAAACATGGACGGCGCATGTCACTTTCGTTGTGATTTGATCAAGATATCTTTTCTACGGTCATTCGCACAGTATCTCTGCTCTGGTATGTACAGAAGTTTCAGTTCCTTTCAAATGTGAAGGCAACTGCTTAACAGCCTGCCCAGGAACGATGCGGTTGCCTGAAATGTGCTCTGGAAAATGCAATGTTACTTACTGCCGTGAACCGGAGTGAAAGAAGTATATGTTTTGATACAGCATTTAAATTGAACCAAATTGAAATAAAAGCGTTTAAAACTCTCTGCAATACCGCTATTACCATAAATCAAGCGTCATCTAATGGCATTTTGACTTTTGGATACACTACCGGCTTCCGATACAGACCGGAATATTAAGCTCGAGTTAAACTACCTGCGGCGTCAGGACACTAAACACTTACTAGAAAGATAAATTTGTCTGTCTGTAAGGACAGCCGGTGTTTTTTTTGCATATTACAATTAATAATATTTTGGAAAGAAATATCGAAAACTAATATTTTCAGTTTGCACTTTTTTCTTACAGAAGCTCACACATTTACGTCATCCTATTCATAAAAGGCGCGTTGAATGACATCATTTAAAACACGAGACGAATCTTACATGCGGCTGTGACACCGATGTAAACTGTAGATTATACTGTCTGCTATGCTTGAATCATGAATCCGTTACACTAGAAGGGGACTTGTCTCTGATATCCTCGCATATTTCAAGGAATCTTGATGCAAATAAAGTAAAGGTCACAATCAGATAACTTGTAACAATCATCTCCTTTTCACGCAATCACAATACAGCTATAATCAAAGTACTGCACGCTTGAAACGTCCCATTTCATAGGATAAGCGTGGCGTGAAAATATATCATCTATATACACCGCGGTGTATAAAGATATCTTTTGTCTTTTTTTGTCCCTTCAAGAAAGGTAGTTTTGTTATATTTACAATTCGTAATATAAAGGCGATTTACAAGTGCTTCTTCCTTTTTGACATTGAAAGTAAATTATATAAAGTGTCACGGCTCAAAAACCTGATAATTCAGGCTATAATTATATATAGGTGAAAGATATATTTAGGATAACTTCGGTAACAGAATCTTTTTTCTTCCTTCTTTTTTTCTTTTTTAATTCATGTTATCTTACAAATATTGTTTTCTTTTCTCAATATTTTAAACTAGATTGACAATGCAAATGTCGGAAATGTTGCCGCAACAAAAGTTACTCTGGACGAAAATGAATTGCTCCATATCTTGTGTGACGCTGAGTGTGATGACCTGCAAATCACTAGTACAGAGAATATAGCTGTTGTATCTGGCTGGGACAACCAAGGTCATGCTTCAAGAGCGTCTGTAGTAGGAGACTCATCGGCGCAGGTGATATTGCTTTTAATTTTATCACATACCCGTGCCGCTTATGTAACTCCGAAAAAAGTATCTGCGCAGTCATGCATATAATTATTTTGTCGTGACGTCATTTGCGTTATACAAAGATAGCATTTAGACGCGCGAAATGTCAACGTTTTAGTAAACTCTATTTATTTATTGATATGTGATAAATATGATATCGTGAAAGTTCATTACTGAATTTATTGAATTTGGTAAATTAAATAATGTTATGCTTGCCAGAGGCTCGCATAATATAATTTTATCTAATTCGTGCAATAAATTCAGTATTTAACTTACATTAAGTCAATATCCTCTATATATGCTTTAGTGCTTTAGTAGTATGACATAAACATTAATAAGGAATTCCCAAACAAAGCACAAAACGACAAAATTGAAAATGCTGCAGACTCTGTTTGATAGAGCCTGTTCATGGACGGTAATGGAAAGTGCAAGTTACCGTCTATGCCCCCCTAACATCAGAATAATATGTATTCAACATTTAGCATGAACTGGTAAAATTTGGAATTTTGAAACATCCATAGCCGAATAGAAAGAACTAAGATGCAACAAGCAAAACAATAATGTCGCGCAGAACAATCTTTAAGGATCGGAAATATAACTTCCCTGATTGAATGTACTGGGCGACGTTTTGCAGCCTCCACGCGCGAAACTAACAACGTTAATGTGGCGATAAAATAGAGAGAAATGAGGAATCCCCAAAAAACACAAAGAACGACATAATTGAAAATGTTGCAGACTCGAAAACATACATATTATCCACAGTTCATCAGCTACAGTGTGTGGATAAAAAAGCTTCGCTCATTTTCATGATTCCGTTAATGTAAATAATATGTAATGGTTGCGTTTTCTAAGTAAATACAATATTTCTAGAATCAAATAGCATTTCCCCCTAAAATTGTAAAAAGATTTTAAATACATTTTCGAATAACTTTTATTTTCATGAGCAGCGTTCGCATGGCCGTTGAACGTCTGATGTCATCGTTTCATGTGTGTCCTTTCCCCGCGCTTTATTGAAAACAGTCAAAAATTGCTGTTACTATTTTTTTCGACATACATATTTCTTTGTGAATAATTATGCTTTTAATAACTTAGACTTGCGCTTGTGAAAATTTCGAAATAATATCGGACTGATCGGTGTTAATTGGCTATCTAACACCGGTTTAGAGTTTTGATACAAAAGAATCGGCCTCGAAGGCCGTAACTTGCCGTAAGCCGTATTATTATTATAGCAACAATACAAAAACTACAAACAAACAAACAAACAAACAAACACACACACACGCACGCACATGTGCGCGCGCACACACACACACACACACACACACACACACACACACACACACACACACACACACACAAACAATATCGACACATATTTGCGTTATTGAATTGCGATTATGTCGATGTACAACACATGTGTGGACTGTAACTTTCTTTTGTATATTTCAGGTCATTCCAAACAAGTACTATAGTAACAAATATGTTACATTACAATTTCCATTATTTGAATTTGGATATATAATCTTGAGTGATGACCCCACTGATACCATTACTTATGCCGACAGTAGCACGCCTTCTACTCCAGTATCTCAAGCTACGTTTTATAGAAAGTTTCATACTTCTGAAGTGTCATTCGACAAACCGGTTTCTGTGTACATGCATGTTTCAGGTAATTCTCTTGTAATTCTTGCTTTTCTCTTTCATTTACACACCGGCTCTTTTGTAAAAACATTAACACATATGTCAAGTCATTTTTTTATCTTTTGTCTCACTGAGTTTTTGCAAAAAAAGTTAGGTTCGGAGGAGGGGAAAAATAATAGAAAAAAGTATTCGTATATTAATGTCTGGAAGGTGAGATACTTTGTTAGTATCTTTCTCTTATATATATCAGAAGTTAAAGAAAAATTGTCAAGAAAAGATTACACGACATGTTAAGTTATTTCGCAAGTCCTTAATATTTTTAACGGATAATTAGTGGGTCAATTACTGACATATGTAGATTATTAATCGTAAATGCATTTGTTTTATTTTTTAAAGATAACCCGTATTCAATCTTCTTTTAAAGACTAATGTTTTTGTTAAATATGCAAATTTTGTCACTATATTTCTTTTTAAATCTAATTCAATCTCATTGAATAAGATTTCTCCAGTCGTATCCTTGAAATGTGATAACTTGCGTATTTTGGCTTTTTTGTAGTTGTTTTCTTGAACGTTTCTACGCCATTTGACCTTCAAAACATATGATTTTATACATATATACATGAAATATATTTCAAATATATAGATATAAGCCTAATTAATTCGTCAAAAATGATTTGACCAATTTGACAGACATCTTTTTTCTTTTCGTTCTACATGCAAAATATATCGTCGTCTAAAATTATATCGACGTTTCTTTGACAAGTCTAATACTCCTATAAATATCCGATAGGACATAACTATCTTAATTTTATTAGCAGTGTATTTCAACTTGGATCTTTTTCGGTGTAGATTTTTTTTTTATATTTCCCAAAACG